TTATCATTTGAGTTATAATGTGTATTTTGAGAAATGTAATTTAAAACCTTCCCAGTTTACATTATTAAGTGCCAGGAGGCGGTCATGTATTAGCAAGCTATTGTTAACATTGTCAGAGTTCATTTAGCTAAAAGAACACAACACCTGGCAGATCATTTTTGTAAACATTTACTGACAACTAATCTACAGATGCTGGTCATATAATTAGAATATCATCAAAAAGTTGATTTATTTCAGTAGTTCAATTCAAGAAGTGAAACTTGGATATTATATTCATTCATTACACACAGACTGATATATTTCAAATGTTTATTTCATTTAATTGTGATGATTAAAACTGACAACTAAAGAAAATCCCAAATTCAGTATCTCCAAAAATTAGAATATTACTTGAGACCAATACAAAAAAAGGATTTTTAGAAATGTTGGCCAACTGAACAGTATGAACATGAAAAGTATGAGCATGTACAGCACTCAATACTTAGTTGGGGCTCCTTTTGCCTGAATTACTGCAGCAATGCCGTGTGGCATGGAGTCGATCAGTCTGTGGCACTGCTCAGGTGTTATGAGAGCCCAGGTTGCTCTGATAGTGGCCTTCAGCTCTTCTGCATTGTTGGGTCTGGCGTATCGCATCTTCCTCTTCACAATACCCCATAGATTTTCTACAGGGTTAAGGTCAGGCGAGTTTGCTGGCCAATTAAAAACAGGGATACCATGGTCCTTAAACCAGGTACTGGTAGCTTTGGCACTGTGTGCAGGTGCCAAGTCCTGTTGGGAAATGAAATCTGCATCTCCATAAAGTTGGTCAGCAGCAGGAAGCATGAAGTGCTCTAAAACTTCCTGGTAGATGGCTGCGTTGACCTTGGACCTCAGAAAACACAGTGGACCAACACCAGCAGATGACATGGCACCCCAAACCATCACTGACTGTGGAAACTTTACACTGGACTTCAAGCAACGTGGATTCTGTGCCTGTCCTCTCTTCCTCCAGACTCTGGGACCTTGATTTCCAAGGAAATGCAAAATTTACTTTCATCAGAGAACATAACTTTGGACAACTCAGCAGCAGTCCAGTCCTTTTTGTCTTTAGCCCAGACGAGACGCTTCTGACGCTGTGTCTTGTTCAAGAGTGGCTTGACACAAGGAATGCAACAGCTGAAACCCATGTCTTTTATACGTCTGCGTGGTGGTTCTTGAAGCACTGACTCCAGCTGCAGTCCACTCTTTGTGAATCTCCCCCACATTTTTGAATGGGTTTTGTTTCACAATCCTCTCCAGGGTGCAGTTATCCCTATTGCTTGTACACTTTTTTCTACCACATCTTTTACTTCCCTTCGCCTCTCTATTAATGTGCTTGGACACAGAGCTCTGTGACCAGCCAGCCTCTTTAGCAATGACCTTTTGTGTCTTGCCCTCCTTGTTCAAGGTGTCAATGGTCGTCTTTTGGACAGCTGTCAAGTCAGCAGTCTTCCCCATGATTGTGTAGCCTACAGAACTAGACTGAGAGACCATTTAAAGGCCTTTGCAGGTGTTTTGAGTTAATTAGCTGATTAGAGTGTGGCACCAGGTGTCTTCAATATTGAACCTTTTCACAATATTTTAATTTTCTGAGATACTGATTCTGGGGTTTTCATTAGTTGTCAGTTATAATCATCAAAGTTAAAAGGAATGAACACTTGAAATATCTGTAATGTAAATGTCTGTGTGGAATGAATGTATACATTATACAAGTTTCACTTTTTGAATGGAATTACTGAAATCAACTTTTTGATGATATTCTAATTATATGACCAGCACCTGTATAGTTTTGAGTGGTGTAGTCCATTTTAATTTAGTGAGTGTAAATACCCACTTGGCAAACACTTGAGTTACAACTAAGCTTCAGCATCTGATTTACATAACGTTCATATTCTTTTGGTCAAAGCTCCTGTAACAGCAGGCGACTCTGTATTTTTCAGGTTGGCCTCGTCCTTCAGTAGCAGGTCTCTTCGCGGCTGCTACACAAACACTGATCAAGAGGTCTTCAGCGACCTCTGGCTATTCCTTACCTGGACATACAGGTAGCCCAAGCTAGAAAATGAGAACTACAACAGCAAAACCAACCTGGAGACTGGGAGGCGGTTTACCCGTCATCAAGAACATTCTTGGCTCACCTGGAGGTGAAAATTCTTAAATCATCAACATCCTGAATGTGAAGTCATGCTATGCCTGAGATACTCATACAGTACAATGCTCCTGACATGCACACTCACATTTAAAACATACCAGTATGACATAAAAGAGGATGCCTTGACATTGTGAATTTTGTTTAGTTCTTCTTCTGCAGCCACCTCGTTACAAGGGACTGACATGTCATGTAATTTTGCTGACATTGAACTATGTAAATGATAATCAACAAGTAAACATGACGGCAATACAAAAGGATTAGATATTGTGTCCTCGCTGCAACTGCACACTTGCAGCAGAAGAGGGTCTGAAAGGCAATTGAAGAGTCGTTATTCCTGTCCCGTTGCATATCATTGTGGTCAGAAGTTTCTCTCTGTTGGCTGTTTTGGGCCTCAGTAGAATTAGAAATGCTAAGAACATGTTTCTGTGATAGCTGACGTATAAAGCAAGACACTTCTTTTCCTCAAGCATTCTGGAGAAAAATATCAACTGAACTGTTAAATGACAAATATGTTCACACATACAGAAACACGAAAGCTGTCAAATAACACACAAACAAAAAAGGATATCTTCATGGAAGGACTCATCTAACTGGTGCATTGATATACATGTTTTTTTCTTTTGTTCAAAATATAGTTATCTGTACATTGAAAGCCAGATCTTATTTATTCCTGTAGTGTGAATTTGGGGTTCGGGAGGGCTGATCCAAAGTATTTTCCTCATAAGTAGTGTAGATGTCACTGAGTTTGTTCAGACAACATGGGTTCCAGTGGTTTTTGATGAAGAATGTATTGCATCAATGAAGCACAATTTTTGAGTTCCTAAACGAGCAAAAGGGTCAGATTTCAAAACAGATGGGTTGCCTTACAAAACTGTAAAACTTTTTCCAATGTGATGTGAGCCGTTTTCACATTATAAACCTGTTTCTAGAGTTGCTATTTTTAACAGAACATTTTAACCACATGTTTAGTTATATGCACTGATGCGCTCATGTGGATCTTTGTAATAACAAACACAGCTCAGTATGTATCTGTATGTGAATGGTGTGATGTCCAGTTAGGAAATATTAAATTAGAGGCACATGTAGGGTTGACATGCTCCGTGCACAAGCAGGGCAGTGAGAATTACATCACCAAAGGCTGGAAAACAAAACGAAACACCAGTTAAGCTATAGCCAGGGTTAGATTTTAGTTTTCTCTAGTCAAAGTTCCTGTCTAGAGACAGTTTTATGGTGTAAAAATGGCTTACCTACTTTGAAAGAGTAATGTTTTCGGTTAGGTCGCTAAAGTCGGTTATCTTTTGTTGATTCAGTCATTGCCACTCGCAGAGAAACTACCACTTATTGCTCTCAGTAGCCTGTTGCAAAGCAGTGAATTAGATGCCCCTGTAAAGCAGCCCATTGGCCAGAAGTACAACACTGGCAGCATAAATGTTGATTAATGCACACATAACCGTCAATTCCCTCACGTGTGCCATAGGATGTTAAATGTGTTTTTAATCAAATCTTGGTTAAATTAAACCGAGAGAATTGAGCACAACATTCAGAGTGTCTGGGGAATAATTAACGGCGTGCTCTCAGAGCACAGTGATTGAATAAACAAAAGCCTGTAACAGTAACCGTGTCAATTTGAAATTTGAGCTTTTAATGTTTTTCTAGGTCCATTTTTATTAACTTAAATGGATTTGTTTTTTTAATGGTACTGTATTTGTGTGTCTGAAAAATATACTGTGGGTCATTTTTTTTAGTGTGTTGTGCAGCTAAATGCGTGAAGTTCTTTGAACAGTTCTGATATTTATAATTGTACTTTGCAAAATGTCTTAAGGCATTATTCCTGTTCTTTTTCTTTCCAGTATTTCCCTAAAATTTCCAGTTAGACAAGCAACTTCAAAGCTGATTTTTGAGGGGTTTGGATTGTTTGGCATTTTTCTGTTCTCAACGGAGCATGATAGGAACAAAAGACGGTTAACAAATGTTTTCAAATTGTCTTTTTGCTCTGAGTTTGTTACTTTTGATGTTCACGTGGCTCTGCATAACTTTAAGCTGCTGCCATTTCTGTCGGTCATTTTTCTGTATGTGATGTAATTTTCCTCACATTCCTTTTATATATTAGCAAGAAAAGACAACCAATGGACAGTCAGTGCTTCAGGGTATTTCTTTTTTTGCCATTGAATGGTTGAATGAGTGACATTCACAGAGACATTACCGGCATTCATTTAACACTGAAACCGGGTTATTGAGTCGACGGTGTGCCTCATGGATGTTGGTTGGGTCACAGATGTGTTGCCTGCAGCTGTTTGAATGAACTTTGAGCATGTCAGTTATGCTGCTGTGACAATTTTAGCATTGATGTTGCTAGCCACACCCTTTAGTGAGAACTCGACCCGAAGTACCTGCCTTATTTCAAATGTTTTGTTTGTTTTTTTTAAATTAAGATTTTGGGGGTGGTGTACTTTTGAAACGACATACAGTTTTCTCTAACTGAAGAACAATATTTTTATTCAAATCCATTGTAAGCTGTGAAAAAGCTGAAGAACTTGTACCAGCATCATTTAGACATGACCCCATGCAAATAACAATCTGTTTCAACACACACACACACACACACACACACGTCAATTATACCAGCATGGATATTTGATTGAATAAACTCACTTTAAAAAGGAACACGAGTAATACTCTTCTTTTTAACATGAGCGGTGGGGGCAATGGAAATACAAAGTATTGTGACAAATTTACAGTATATTAAATTTTTAACTATGAAGATTGTTAAGTGGAAACATTTTAAGTGGCTGACATCTGAAATTTTCTGTGGCTTTAAACTTGAATGCTTGTGAACTTTTTAAAATTGTCTTTATTTCTGCACAAATATGACCTAAAACATACTTAGATTTTCACACAAGTCACACGAAGTACATTAAACAATTAAACAAATGAGAAAAACATGTTATACTTGAACCTTTGCTTTCCCCCCGGTGCAGCAATAACTGCAACTAAATGTCGATTTGAGGAATCTTAGCTCATTCTTCTTTACAGATCAGCTTCAAGTCTTGGATGTGGGTGGGTTTCCTTGTGAACTGCTCGCTTTAGGTCCTTCAACAACATTTTTTAAGGTCAGGACTTTGACTTGGCCATTCCAAATTATTCACTTTACTCTTCTTTAACCATTCTTTGGTAGTACGACTTGTGTGCGTAGAGTTGTTGTCTCGCTGTATGACCCACGTTCTGAGATTCAGTTTACTGACACGTGTCCTGACATCATCTATATAATCGCTGGTATAATTCAGAATTCATTGTTCCATCATAGGTGGCAATCTTCTCTGGCCCAGTTGCAGCAAAACAGGCCCAGATCATGATATTACTGCCGACATGTTTCACAGATGGAAGGTTCTTATGCAGGAATGCAGTATTTTCCTTTTGCCAAACATAACGCTTTTCACTTACACCAAAAAGTTCTATTTTGTTCTGTTTAATTTGAAAGTCAGCCATCTGCTTTACAAAGCAATACTAACATAAGATGCAAAAAATAAAGTTGTCATAATTTTAAATTTAATGTAAAAACTGCAACTAATAATTATATTCATTATCTACTAATCAGCCACTTATTCATTAATTATTTTGACTTTGAAATGAAGGAAACTGAATAAATAATAATAATACAATTAAAAGGATAAAAAAAAAACATTGATGTTCAACAAAACAAATTTATTTTGTGAGACTTTTTAACCTCTTTGGGCCACTAAAAATTCTTCAAATGAAAAAGCCTGGAATTGAAAAATGACTCATGTCCAGATTAAGGCCATAACCTTAAACAAAGGGGTCCCGAGTAGACTCATTTCAAGATGTCAAAAGCCAGAAAACATTGGAAGCCACAGAGCTGAAACATCTAGGCAGAATTTGTGTTTCATTCAGCTGGCTACGACTTCACCTTTCTTTTACTTTTCTTTTCAGGGTTAGCAACTATTTTTTTCAATTTGAGGGGTTGCAGAGCGCAGGACGAGGCCGACTCTGTGACCTCCTCAGATTCACTCTCAAGCTTCCTTTTTTGGCCCTTCTTCCCGCCAGCTTCCTCCTCTTCCATGTCAGTGGGGTCTTCAGGTGTTACACTGGGTGCTACACCTTGTAGCCACGCAACGTCCAGTGAAGGCACCCTGGGTGCAATGGCATCAACAATGTCAGCGAACGCCTCGTCATCTTTGGAGGCACACCGTCTAAACCCCAGTGCGAGGACACTTTTCAGGCCCAGCAGCTCCGACACACTCTGGCTCAGCCGAGGCACCTGGCAGGCCGGCACTCCTCTCGTTGCACTCAGCGCTATCAGGTGATCCGTCATGTGTTTTGGTTTGACAGACTTGCACACGAGCAACAGTTTGAGCTTGTTCCTCTCCAGAGCTTTGGTGACCTCGTTGATGCCAATGGCCAGTTGTCTTCTGGCTGCCACGTCCGTCCAGCCATTTTTGGAAGACTCCTGCACCTGTGCATCCTGGCTCACCTGAGGAACAGGTTCTGATGTGGCAGCAGGTTTCGGGTCTCTCTTTTTCCTCCACGGGCGAAACACTTTCACCTCTTTCTTCTCAAGACCAGTGGAAACCAGCTTGTCGTTCAGGGTTTTCAGGATGAAATGCATGTCTTCTTGGGGAAGTGGGCTCCATTTTGGAGTGAATGGTGAGTTGAAGGAGGTCTTGGTTGGAACATGCCTTTTGGTTTCCTTTTTGTTGGCCCTTTTACCTGGCTTTCCTGCACTGGCCATACCTCCTCTGAAATTACACCTGTAACAAAGGACAAATACATTCACATAAAAAATTAAAAACATAAAAGATTAAAAAAATCTTACTACTGTGGTGTATAACGTGCATTTGACGCATAACAGTTTAACATAGCACTGTAGCAGCTGGATAGAGGATTAGTGACCTTTTAAGGGGAGAGCAGAGGTCAGTGGTTATGTGGAGACTCAGACCCTTATATGGTATCCAACCGATACCTAAACATGTCCTATATAAGCTGTGTTTGATGTACAGAGAGACAGAGTGGTCATCGGGCTGGGTCACTCTCCAAGCTGCTGCAGAGCTTGTAATTGATGCTGAACTCCTTGATGTAATAAACTTTTACGATCAAGAACAGTGTCAAGCGGATTTCTTCTCAACACATCATCACAGCATTATTGTTCGGACACCACAGAATACTACATATTATTTTCTTGATGACACTGCTTTCCAAAAAACATGTTATCCTACTACTCTCTGATCTGCTGCCATCTCCTCTCCGGCTCTCCTCTCCAACAACAACAACAACACTAAACACATGAATAGTCAAATGATCAAGATTAACAGTACATTAACTCAGTCAGAGACTCCACCAATGTTTGAAATTTAAAAGCCATCATTCATTTTGGTGAGTTTCTGCACAGCTTCAGTGATATTGATTTGGTTTTGAATGTAGTGAGTCCCCTTGATGGTGGTCCCTTGAGTGGGTCATTAATAAAATGTGTGTTTTTAGATAAATTGTAGCTTTGAACTCCTGTTTAGGGAGTAGGGTATCGTTAGGATTTTCTTGACACTATGAACAGAGAGCAGGATTTCTATGATTTCAACACGGATTTGTTGTTCACAATGTAACGCAGGACACGTACCTATCGACATCCCTGCAGCTTCCAGCACACCTGTAGCTGGTAGCGCTTTGGGGACTACCTTCAGGGATCCTCTAATGTGACGCCTTCCCATTGACTGTATGGGCTGTTGGTTTGTGGTGCGTTGAAGTACAATAAATTATATTCGTTTTTAAATGAACACGTTTTAGAAACAGTGTAAAACAGCTATAGGGATTTCCCCCTATAAAACCCCCCCAAAATGTAATACATTCCCGAAAAATGAGCCCATTCCCCACCAATGAGTGGTCCTCAAAGATTCAGTATAAGTCGGGTCATATTAACAAGTTTTGAACTGGGCAGTAGCCTACAATAGGCCTAAGAATAATCAAAATAATAAATACAATAAATAAAGAATGATCATTAATATTGTGACATTGTTTTGGGTGTGATTATTGATGATTCCATGCAATATTTAAACTAGAGTTGAATGACTATGTCTCTGAAGAAGTTTTGAGATTGATGGTCAGAGAAGCATTCACTGTCAAATTAAGTGAAGTTCGTGTTTCCCGTCCACTGTAATGGAAACCCTTCACACGTGTTCTTATAACCGCATCAGTATCACAGTCAGCAACATACCTGACAAACTAAAGAGGTTTTACCTGATTTTAATGCTGTAAACTCTCTTTCAGTCCGACAACACAGGTGGGCCACAGGGCGCCGCCATTTTTGTTTGAATTGAAATAACTTTATTTAAAAGGTGCCACAGCGCAGACCAGCGTTCAATGAACAGAACGACATTCACGGCTCCATATTACTACTACATTATGTTCATAGCGTGGCAGAAATGATACCGGGAAAAAAAACAGATGTTTCAAAGGATTTGTGGTTAAACCCTATATAATAAATATTTTAATAAAGTTTAAATAGGGTTTGATCCTAACAACACCTTTGAGAATATGTATGCTCTATTCCTCTACATAGGTAAAAGTACAGTAGCTATACTGTGTGTGTGTGTGTGTGTGTGTGAGTGAGAGAGAGAGAGAGTGAGGGGGACAGGCAGCGGCATCCAATCAGCTCTTCAGTAGCTCTCTGCTCCCTCCTCTGCAGGCCTCTCCTTGGTCAGCGACGATCTTGCGTCGATCAGCTGTGCTGCAATTACAGCTGCACAAAGACGTCCAGCCGACAGGGCAAATTACATTCAACTAAACCACGGGTCTACAGCAGCGAAAATGTCTCATCAGGTAAAATATTAACTACTTTTGTTTTCATGTTATTTGGCAGTATTATACCGGAGATGCACGGATTACCGCTATGAAATGAATAACGGTTGTACCGGTGGAGTCTTCATGCAGTCATATAACCTACTGTATGTGGTGTCATCCATCTTTGACAGTGTGAATGTAAGAAAAACAAGTCTAAATATATTCAATATTTTGCTCTATGGTCCTCCTGACGCTGCAGCTACAATTAATGTTTTGGAGATTGCTATAAAATGAGACAAACAAGAAAATATTATAATGCATGATTATGGATAACTAATAGGATGATGAAAAGTATTTGACTGGCCCAGATACAGTTTTGATGAATAGTTTAGAGATTAATCTCTGTAGCATTTTAAGTGGTTTCCGGAACTACATTCCTACACTTTTTTTTCACAGTTTTTGAGTTTTCATGTTTTTTTGTGCAAACCTAAATGGTTTCTATATTAATGATATGGTCTGCAATGTCCCAGATCTTTTGTAAAGTAGATTATTCAAGGAGGCACAAAGGCTGTGGTCTTGAATAAAAGCCCATTGTTTGTCTCCAGCTTATGCAACAAAAGGTTTCCCAGGGTTTGCTCCATGACTAGAATACTATGCCCAGATTTCTTATTCAGTGTTGTAACTGATTAATATGCACATTCTCATATTATGTGATTATGCACTCCCACTGGACCAAATACCTTCAACTGATTCCTCTGTCAGACTTGGCAAAGAGCTGAAAATTTATATATATATATATATATATATATATATATATATATATATATATATATAAAACCATGCTTACCTTGTGCAAACATAATGGATACCTCTTGAATTATTTATCAGTAATAGAGAGTGACTTGACTGTTTCTTTACTGACCTGCAGGCAGAGTTTGACAAGATTGCAGAGGATGTGAAAAAGGTAAAGACGAGGCCTACGGATGAGGAGCTGCTGGACCTGTACGGCCTTTATAAGCAGGCAGTTGTCGGAGACATTAACACAGGTATAATAATAATAATAATAATAATAATAATAATAATAATAACAATAATAATAGGCAGCACTTATCAAAATAAAGTTACAAAATGCTTTACATGGTTGAAGAATTTTAATGAAGGAAACATTTCAGGACTGAGGCAATTAAAATTATACAAAATTCAAATGGAAAGATCCCCACAGTGATATAATGTTATATAATGATAGTATTAATAAACAGGTGAGACAATTTAGCAATAAAAGGCTTTTTTAAAATTGTATGCTGTGGTTTAAAAGATGTCACAGATCCTGCAAGCCTCAGGTTCTTGGACAGGGCGTTGCAGAGTTGAGGGGCCATGATTGCAAAAGCCCAGTCACCTTTAGTCTGGAGCCGGGACTTTGGAACAGCCAACAGAGCCCTGCCCAAGGATCTGAGGCTGCGTTCTGGCTCATAGTGGTGCAGCAACTCAGCAATGTAACAAGCAGCAGAACCATGAAGTACTTTAAATGTGATCAGTAAAACCTTAAAATCAATTCTGTACTGGTAACCAGTGAACGGAGGCTAAAACAAGACTGATGTGATCTTGTCTTCTAGTATTTATTATAAGCCGAGCAGCTGCATTTTTTACCAGCTGAAGACGTTAAGATTTTTTTTTTGCTTAGCTCTTAATATAATGAATTACAGTAAATCTAACCAAGATGATATTAAAGCATTGATGACCTTCTCGAGATCAGGCCGATAGAGAAAAAGACAGATTTTTGAGATGTTTCTTGCTGCAGTAAAAAACAGTATCATTTCCATGCAATGGTCTCTATATTCTGAACATTTCCTTCTCTCTGTGTCACATTTGTAGAAAGACCAGGAACGCTGGACTTTAAAGGAAAAGCCAAGTGGGACGCCTGGAGCTCCAGGAAAGGTAAGAAATGCTTGTAGGTGTAAAATTAAAAGACAGGGCTTGTTGCTTGCTATCAGCTGCAATTTAATGCATCATTCTGAGCTACCAATGATGCCAGGATTCTTATACGTATCAGTAAGCAAACACAGTGATACTTTGTGTTTTTAATCCAGATACTTTGTATGTCCACCTTCTTTCAGGAATGTCCAAGGATGATGCCATGTCAGCCTACATTACACTTGGAAAGGAAATCATCAGCAAATATGGCCTGTAAGATTTGCAATAAACTGAAGAAGAAGCCGAGTTAATGCAAAAAACAACAATAGTCTACTAACTGAATTACTAAAACATTGCTGCTGTCTATATAACAAGTAGCCTTCTGCTTTCAGAGGCCATAAATATGCAGCATAAAGTGTGATTTAATATTTCTCCATGGTTTGTCTTTTGTTTACATAGTTTATTCTTATTCATGTATGCAATTGAACTCCCATGCATCCTTTAAGGTTAAAATATAAAAAAATTCTAATTGCTATTTTATCTAATTTATATAGTTAATTGTTATAATCCACATGTATAAAAAATATATAAGTTCAAGTTCGAGGCTTTTATTTGTCCCAGAGGGGCAGTTGGTTCTGCAACAGTAGCAATAAAACAACAACACACGGCAAGACAAACAAAACAAAATATTATATAGGTCTAGTATAATAATGCCTGTACACTTTGATGTGTAGCTTGATTCCTAATCAGAATATGACTAATTAAATGGCGTCAAATCTGAACATTCTGCAAATATTTTGAAAATAAAACCTCTTTCTGAAATGTTTTTGTTTTGTTGTTTCTTGTTATTTAGCATACCTTTATTGATATAAATGGGGTAGACAAAATAATCGTCTGTTAACATAACGCTATACAGTTCAACCGCACCACAAACCGCAGCCTCCAAAATAACCATGCAGGTGAATCAACACCTCTCTGAAAACAGAACATTAATATAACGTCCACGAAGGTAGGAATCACTGCAGGACTGCTGCATTAGATTGCATTGGTTTTAATAAACTGGCAACTCAGCGTATTTTATTATATATTATTACATGAGACTATTCTATATGATTCCCCATCATTGGAATAATAGATGTAGTCCAATCTATGAACAGAGCCACACCAAAAATACTCAAAACTGTGTAGACAAATGTCCTCATACTTTTGACTATATAGTGCATTTTCAAGAATTGTTTGAATTGGCTGTTGAGAAAGGTTTAATGTGACATTGACCTGTGGACCTGTTTGTCCACCTTCATTATTTTCACTGCTAAAACGTTATTAATTTGTAAGTCCCCTCTGTGTGTAGAACTATTGTGGGTCTTGTTTCGAGTTTTATGGTCCATTTTGGTCGTTTGGCCTCTAAATCAATCCACCTCTCACCCCTCTGCAGCAGATAAACTTGATATCAATGCCTCATTATTTCACTGACTAAATGTAGGTCAAGTGCATTGCGCATGAGCAGTGGGGTCTTCCGGGCTGGCGCCGGGTGTTCAGTGGGGTAAAGGTGAGGAAGAGCTGCTGCTGCTGCAGCTGCAAACAACACTTTCAACAACACTTTCAACCACTTCACCTGCCAGCTGGCTAAAGATATTTCTGCTGTAAACTAAAGTCAACATATCCTGAAGAAGGTGAGCTGACAGGGGTGATTGAAAGCTACGATTGACGTTTTTTAATCAAGTTTAACCTAACGCTAACTTAAGTTACATGTCAAACGTTGTTGGTATAAAACCGAAGGCGAGCGAGAGCAACGTTAAGTTCGCTAACTAGTGCACCTTAACAGCTCAGTAACCTTAACTAGCTAGTGCACTGAAAACTTTTGAGGTCCTTTTGATTTAATAATAAGGTTAAACGAGTGCAAACGTTTTCAGACTGACGAGTAACGTTAGCTAGCTTAAGGAAAACCGTTAAGTCCGTTTGCATTTATTAACTTATAAACAAGTAAAAAAATCCTAATATCTGAGTGCTTTCATCATGCAGGTTGGTACTCTGTAAGCCAAGTTACACTAACAACATTTATCGATTCATATCGGGTCGTAAAAAACAGTTTATGAACTAAAATGTTTGATAAAGATAGCAACACAGCCTATGAACATTTTAAAGCTACGTTACTTATTATTCTAGCATACAAACTATGTGATATTATAAGTGGCAGGAAAAGTCATATTTTGGGGGTATTTCGCCAAATGCTAAACTGACTGTGGGAACAGTGAAATTCAAATCTCTTATCTACTGTATACTGTGCATACTTGCTCAGGGATCATCCAGTGGGGGAAGAAGTACTATTTATTTTTGTACTCCGTTACAAGTAAATCCTGGATTAAAATTTTTACTTAAAGGTCATATTATGCTAATTATAATAATCATCACGCGCTTTGTCACTGGTTTGTGAAATTCATGGACAGGATATTGAGGCATAGTTGGGGTGGGGAGGGATTGCAGTTCAGTGGGCTGGGGATCTCATCACAGATGAATGGAAGTGGCCATGATGGAATCATCAGTCCTTGACCTTCAGCACTCACTGGAACGGTTCACAGCTCAACGCGAAGTGGCGGGGATGACGATTAAGTCTGAGTCCATGGTTCGCAGCAATTAACCGATGGAGTGCCTACTCCAGGTAGGGGATGAGTACTAACACCAAGTGAAGGAGTTCAAGTACCTTGGGGTCTTGTTCGCGAATGAGGGGACATTGGACCGGGAGACTGGCTGGAAAATTGGAGTATTGGAGGTATTACTGCACCATCGTGACGAAAAGTCTACTGGTCAGTTTTCGTTCTACCTTACCCTCACCTACCTAGAACTAGATCGCACGTACAAGCGGCCAAAATGGTTTTTCTCTGGAGGGTGGCTAGCATCTCCCTTAGAGATGGGGTGAGAAGCTCAGTCGTCAGTGAGGAACTCTAGAGCCTCTGCTCCTTTGCGGCGAAAGGAGCCAGTTGGTAGACGTCTCCTTAGGGAGGTGTTACAGGCTTGTCCAGCTTTGAGACGGCCTCGGGCAAGAACCAGGACAAGGGAAAGAGATCACACTTGCCTGGGAACATCTCGGGATCCCCCAGTCAGAGCTGGATAGTGTGTCTCGGGAAAGGGAAGTTTGGGATCCCCTGTTGGAGCTGCTTTCCCCGTGACCCGACCATGTGTAAGTGGTTGAAGATGATGATGATAATAACCATCATTGAAGTACATAACTATTTAGGCTTTCCTGGAGAACAACCTCATCATCCTCATCATCTTGTAATGTAAAGTATAAAGTGGAAAGTATAAAGTATTCTACCACCTGGGCTAACTGCACCCCTTTTCTGTATAATTACGACATAATTTGAAACGTGTTATTTAAATTACAGAAGGAAGAAATGGCTAATCATTTGTCAGAGTCTCTGCCAGAGCGGACCTTCGGGTACCAAAGCAGCCTGCCACCGCTGCCTGTCCCGTCACTAGAGATGAGCCTTTTCAAGTACCTGGAAGCAGGTAGGATAGTAGCTTTGTTCCACCTGCTGAGTTACTCTGTTTCAGGTTTTGTAAATATTTACCATGCAAACTTCAAATATTTACACAAACAAATGCTTTAAATAATTAAGAAAATTCAACATGGTGTAAACTGCTCACTGCTGCTATTTGTCTGTATGTAAATATTTACCAGTGTGAGATAGGGCTGCAACTAGTGATTATTTTCACTGTCAATTAATCGGTCGATTATTTTCTCAATGAATCGATTAGTTGTTTGTTTCCCAAAGCCCAAGATGGTGTCCTCAAATGTCTTGTTTTGTTCACAACCCAAAGATATTCAGTTCACTGTCATAGAGAAGTAAAGAAAACAGAAAATATTCACATTGAATTTTGACTTTTCTTTCTTAAATAATTACTCCTACTGATTAATGGATTTATCAAAATACCTGGCGATTAATTTAATACTAATTGATAAATCGTTGCAGCTCTAGTGCAAGAAGTGTGATTCTGTAATTTTGCCCTTTAACCCTGTAAAGCCCAACCAAACATAATTTGGTTTTGAACTGGTTCCTGGTGTATCTAAAATTGGTGGATTAGAGCAAAAATGAATGGGTGCATGAATGTTTTAATTAAAATATACCATCAATACTGAAACTATATGATATGAGTTTACTTCATAGGTCATAGTCATAGGTACAACAGTTCTTTTCCCCAGAACACCGTGGTTAGAGGTGAAAATCAGTAGGTCTTAAATTCTGAATATTGTAACAGGACACATACAAGTCTGTCAAAAAGCTGATTGCATGTTTGATTGTGTGTTTCATATTAACTGTACTGTATTTATAGGCATTAATGTTCCCAAAGCCCAGAAGCTGATGCTGGTGCTCTTGCTTGACAGACTGACTCTTTTTGCACTGCCATGTTTTCCATCAGTTCATCCATTTGCATCTGAGACTGAGTTTAAGGCTACAGCGGACATTGTGAAGAAATTTCAAGAGGGTGTTGGGAAAGAGCTGCACTTGAAACTACTGCAGAGAGCCAGGACAAAGAAAAACTGGGTGTGTAATTGCGCTCTAAATGTTACAGATGTCAACTTCGGTCATGTATGTTTTACCTAACGTCTTTATTTCCCAGCTGGAAGAATGGTGGTTAGACGTTGCCTATCTGGAGGTCCGCATCCCCTCTCAGCTGAATGTGAACTTTGGCGGCCCGGGACCCTACCTGGAGCACTGCTGGCCCCCTGCAGAGGGAACTCATCTACAGAGGGCCAGTATAAACACATGGCATACGCTACAGTACTGGAACCTGATCCGCACGTGAGGATGTTCACACACTCGCTTATCGCTTTTTTACATTTACGAGTCATGTTTTATATATGTGATTTGTTTTATTTTCTTCTATATGGATGTTTTAGGGAGAGGCTGGCTCCTCAGAAAGCTGGCAAAACAGCATTAGATATGGACCAGTTCAGAATGCTGTTCTGCACTTGCAAAGTACCTGGAGTAAAGAAGGACACCATTCGTAACTACTTTAAGACCGGTAGACTAAACTTGGCTCTTATCTCTAACCTTCTCTGCTCTTTAGCCCACTTTCTCAGTTTACATATCACTGTTGTGTAAGCGCATTTTGTGCTGTGTCACAGAGCGTGAGGGTCCGTGCCCCTCCCATTTGGTAGTGATGTGTCGTGGACGGATCTTCACATTTGACGCTCTCTATGACGGACAGATCCTCACCCCTCCAGAACTACTCAGGTAGTGATTACAAGTACACACCAGTCAAGAATTAAATTCGAATATGAAACCTTGTAACCAAGACAACAAACGTCCGGTTGAGGGTTGGAGAGAGAGATGCAGGGACAGAGGAAACATTTTAATGTTATAGGAATGATAGTACCTGTGACTGCTGCTGTATAGGAAATATTTGGACCTAATTTTTCTTGGAATGGAAAAGAAAACAAACAGATCTTTTGGCTTTTGGAAAAAAAAAGTGAACAAAACTTTGTTTTTATGATTCATTCATGATTTGAATTACATGTAATACTTTTTTAAATTTTATATAACATTTGAGTCCCGGCTGGTGGTGTTCAAGTTTCCATGTTCCATATTGTTGAATCTACTGTACTGCAATCGTGTAACAATGCATGGTCTGAAACTGCAGGTCTTGAAAAGTCTTGAAAAGTATTTTATTCAGTTTCCTCAAAAAAAGGTGTAGAAGGTATTAAAGTTATCTTGCTGTAGGCAGTAATCTGAGTGCAGGCTGTCGGGAGACCTTAACACACTCATGAACTAAAAGTCAGATTGTGTTGACAATGGATTGTTCATGCAGGATGCTGTTTATCCTTTTTTCTGTAGAGTTTCAGGCAGCACCATCAGTCCCGTAGCAAACACTGTCACAACTGCTAGCTACAGTAGCTACGAGGCTCATCATGTCGTAATGTTCCTTATTTTATTTTCTGTGTGTGTGTGTGTTTGTGTTCACCTGTAGGCAGTTGAGCTATGTGACAGAGCGCTGTGAGGGAGAGCCAGAGGGAGATGGAGTGGCTGCTCTCACCTCAGAGGAGAGGACTCGCTGGGCGAAAGTAAGGGTGCTCATGTTTGGAGACTTTGCTGTTCATCTGGCCAAATAAGATCTAAAATGGATTATGGATTGCATTTGTGAAAACATTCTAATATTACAAAGCATACTCAGGATCACTATTGTCAGCATTTAACAGTTCACTGTCTCTGCAGGCCAGGGAGCATCTAATAAGCATTGATCCACACAATAAGACCATCCTGGAGACCATCCAGAGCAGCCTGTTCGTCGTATCTCTGGACGAAACAAAACCCTACTCTACTCCAGAGAACTACACAAATGTGGGGGCTGCACAAAGTTGAAGTATGATTTCATAACTTACTCTGGCTGGCTAAAAGAAAATAGTTGTGTGTAATTACGATTCTTAACACAGATAACCCGGGAAGCCCTTACAGGCGACGCCACCATCCGCTGGGGTGACAAATCGTACAATTCACTCGTGTTCGCCAATGGCACTTTTGGATCCACGTGTGATGTGAGTTTGTATGTGTGTGTCGTGCTAGAGACACATTTCTTTTAATGCTGTTCGTCTTGATGTCTCGGATAAAATTCTACTATGTATAAACTTCAGAACTTTCTTAAGGGGTTAAAAATAATAGATTGAAACCTTCAATCAAATTGTTTTTCAGCATGCACCATATGATGCCATGGTACTGGTGTCTATGTGTTGGTATCTGGACCAGCAAATTAAAGCTGCAGAAGGCAAATGGAAGGTAAACATTGACTATTACTTGATTCTGTACATTAGGTAAAATAGTACTTGTTACTGAATGATACATATTGATATCTGTGCTTTTTAGGGCTCAGACGCAGTCAGACACGTGCCCGTTCCTGAAGAGCTGGTGTTTACTGTGGACGAACAAGTCCGGAGTGACATCAGCCACGCCAAACAGCAATACCTGGAGTCGGTGAGCCAATATTAAATACGAATTTATGCTACTATGCTAGAAAAAAAACATGATGCAAATGACTTGTCCGTAGTCGCAGCTGTGTGAATGTCCTCTCTGTCGCTGGTTTTACAGACACAGGACCTGCAGGTGGTGTGTTACGCCTTCACTGCATTTGGAAAAGCAGCCATTAAACAGAAAAAGCTGCATCCAGACACTTTTGTTCAACTAGCAATGCAGTTGGCCTACTACAGAATATACAAAAAGTATGTACTGGTTTAAAATGTACTGGTTTAAAATGTACCGATGATTGAAGTCTAAGAAGTGAATGACCCTGAATGTCTGTTCTTTTGCCTCTCAGGCCAGGAAGTTGTTATGAGACAGCAATGACTCGCAAGTTCTACCATGGTAGGACGGAGACTATGCGGCCCTGCACCCAGGAGGCACTGAAGTGGTGTGAAGCCATGATGGACCCCTCGTGCGACGTGAGTGTGTGTATGTCTGAAACCCTGCACTGTGGTAAAATCCCACCAACAAAGGAGGTGGAAGCGGTCATTGCTCATTTGACATGCTACGTAAACATTTTTCTGTCAGGTTAATGCCAAGAGGAAAGCCCTGCTGGTGGCCTTCAATAAACACAACAAACTGATGGCTGAAGCCCAGGAAGGAAAAGGTTAGTTTGCTGTAAAAGTTTTTTTTTTTTTAAAGGTTAGTTTGTACATTTCCATTAATGGAAATTCTTTTTCCTCCTCACTATGCATGTAGGTGCACAGCTATAATGAGCTAAAAACACTTCCAAAAACTAGGTTGAAGACAGGAGTTTTCCTTTGAATTTTTTACTGGAAGCAATTGCCAAACAGTGAAAACAATATTTGATAAAACACAACCAATTCAACTGATAGTGATTACAAATCAGAAAAACATGATCTGCCATAAATAAGAGTTAGAACAAAGGTAAAAATACTGACACAGTAACATGAAAACTGGATTTACAAAAGGTGTAGACTTACTGTCAAAATAGTTATTGTACATTGTTCCTCGTGTCAGGAAGAAATATCACGAGTGGAAGAATAACTTTAAAGATACCAGGTGGCGTTTTTGACCACTAGTAGAGCTTAAGAGCAACTTCTGGGTCCTTCCCCCTTTGTTTGTAAAACAACAATTGCCCCAAGAACACACATCAACACACGTGCTACATGCTACTCTGCTAATCAGCATTTGCAGTTGGTGGCAGTGACTCACCAACAAACATAACATGAGTTACCTTTGACTTCATGCAGCGCTGACTTAACGTGATGCATGCAGGACTTAAAATAAGGCATGCTGGTTAGAAATTGTGTCCAACTTTCGCTGGCGCTGCAAAACGTCACGTTGTCACATGACATTAAAACTTTGCAGGAGCATGGCATCTGGAGGCACCGAATCTGGCGGCCGCAGTCGCTTTTCTCCGACTGCACAAAGTTGGAACCACACTATTGCCCGGTCTTGCGGCATTTTTCTTTGCAAATGCTGTAAGTTCAGTCACTGATCTCAGCTTTACAGTAAGCTCGTGCAGGTATAATATGTCCCGACTTGACAGCGCCGTTTTTATTCCCCACCCCTGAAGTCGCCTGCAGTCGGCATCTCGAACGTTCCTAATGTACAAATAAAACCAGTCAATGCATGATTCAAAATATTATAAACATTGGCTTTACATTGTTGTAAATTCATTTTGATGTTGTGACACTGTTGCCAGGTTTTGACAGGCATCTTCTTGGGCTGTATCTTATTGCCAAGGAGGAGGGACGTCCCACTCCAGAACTCTTCACAGATCCCCTCTATGCAAAGAGGTCAGTTCCAGTGAGCCGACATGCACAGCTGGAACTGGCTCACCTGAATAGAATTAAATTAAATGCACCTGCCTGTGTCCTACTATGACACATAGGCCCATATTGTCAACTGATCTTGGCTTATCAAACATACAGACATTGAAATCTCAACGTCTCTAAACCAGAACAGGTTGAACAGGTAAACATGAATGATTTTGAGATTTTAAGGCATGGTTAAAAAATACTACTGGATCACAACAAACATTCTGATAAATGGTCCGTTTGATAAACTGAACTGAAATACAGATTTTATCAAGGACATTGCATTAAATTGAAAAGTGATAGTGGGTGTCTTTCTGTCTGCCTGTAACTGAGTTGTGTGTTTGCGTCTGCAGTGGCGGTGGTGGTAACTTTGTGCTGTCGTCCAGTCTGGTGGGCTACACCACAGTTCTTGGGGCCGTGGCTCCCATGGTGCACCATGGCTATGGCTTTTTCTATCGCATCAGAGATGACAGGTGGGCAGGCAAGAAATAAGCATGTTTTCATAAATTTTATAAAACATCTTTTTCTCCAACTGTCATGATGTCGGCGTGAGGTTCTACTGACCATTATGCAGATCCAACCCCTTAAAAACACATTCTTTCAAAAATGGCCACCAATGGAGCCAAAATTAAGGCTGGTTTTCCTAGTTCATGAAAAGATTTTCAGAAATAGTAGTAGTGGTGCATACACTAAACAGTTTTCACCATCATTAGGAAATTAGTTTAATGTTTTCTTGATTTGCCCTAGTGGTACATCACCCTCCTCAGTAGGGTTAAAATTCATTAAGCAGTTTAGAGTTTGACATTGTGTGTACCTTCCCTACATTTTCAGCCACTACAATCATATCCACGCTGTCTTTTTCCCCTTCAGGATTGTGGTCTCCATCTCGGCGTGGAAGTCTTGCCATCAGACAGATGCTGTGTCACTATTTAACAGCTTCTGTAGCTCCTTGCACGAGATGCTCCACTTGGCCACCACATCTCAGCTTTAAGTGCTCACACCGACAGACAGCAGCTAAACACAAGCTAATTTACCTTTTACCTCTCAACATATGTTTGAACTTCAATGGACACACAGTTCACAAACCGTCAGTTAATAGCTGACAGCTAGCGATAGTCATGTTTGTTCTCAGCACAGATCAATGCAAAGGTACAGAATCAGTACTTATATGTACCTTTAGTGTAAATTGTTGTTTTGTGTGTATATATTTATCCGGATTCTCTGATTTTCATGATTGTAGAACACATTTTATTGAGAATGTTTCATTTTAAATTCTGACCATATTAATCCACCTTTAAACTGAGCTGACGCTAAAGCTGAAGATCTTTTTATGATGTATGTTCTCCAGTGGGTAAAGATTCAGTAGAAAGTGAGGCTGTTCTGAGGTGGAAAACTGACAGGAAAATTACTTCTGACTGCTGTGGCTGCTGGCCTTCGATTTAGTAAAAAAGGCATTCCAGTGAAACTCATGATTGAAGTTCAGTAAAATATATTTGTTATTTTTTGGATTGGTGGAACAACACTCAGGTGTTACTTCAGTTGGACTGAAATCAGTAAACATCTTCTTGTGACTTGGTTAAAGGTTCAGTGTGTAAGATTTAGTGGCATCTAGTGGTGAGGGTTGTGATTTGCAACCAACTTTCCAGTCTACCACTGCCCCCTACCCACTGTAGGACAGCTACAGTGGCAGACAACAGCGCAAAAAGTATCTCTTCTGAGACAGCAGAGAGTAGCCAGTCAAGAAATGAGGGTTCTTTAGGTATATTTATTAAGAAATTATATTTACTTAATTATTTTGTAAAACCATATGTTATTGTGACTTGGCCACTGACAGACAACATGGAAAATGCAAGCCAAGAGTGTGAAACATTATCACTGTTTCTGCACCACAGTCGTGGCAGCAACAGTTACTCACATAATCACTTCCTCTTTAGTGGGTTTGCCTACAAAATAAAAGTGCAAGAAGCTTGTTTACTGTAATGCTGTAGTTGGAGTTGAAGAGCTTTTACTTTGAAAAAATTCAGAACTACATTAAAAGAGTTTGTAGCTTGCTTGACACAACTCTGAAAGAGCTGTCAGAAAACGTGATTCTCCTAAATGTCCACTGCCTGGAGATAATGGGGAATTGAAAAAGCGTCCATAGGTTGATGGATGCAGATCAAACACTGCAGCACGTGCTGTAATACGAACAGTCACTGCAGAATCAATTTGTTGGAGAAAATAAAAGCCCCAAGGTGTGCACGAACTCTCAGGTTGTGAGTCCTGCAATTTACCATATGAGCTAACCAAACATCATACCAATAGATATCAATATGACGTCTTATAATGTCATCCACCATCTAATGGTTGAAAAAATTGCTCCGATGCAAAACTTATTTGCCGACCCCTGCTGTATATTATTACTGCTTCTTCTTCTGACTTGTATTCAACATAGTAATGAGTGTCTACACTGCCTGAGTTCTACCAGAAGTATAACAAGAAGAACGTAGTGACCAAACGCGCTCTGTAGCGCTGTTTGTCTGTTTTCAGCTACTGTAGAAACATGATAATGCAATGTGGCGACATCCATGGTTATGTAGATATAAATGGCTCCTTATAAAGTAATAAAAACAGAATGGTTTATTATGTAAGGTCTTTTATACACCACTGAAAACATAGTTATGGATCATATATTGCATTTCTGTCAATAAATCCTCAGAAATATTACACACTGAACCTATAAAATTGTAAAAAGAAGGAATTAATGTTTACTTTAATTATCTTCAGTGATTGTACCCCCCAGTGATAATTACTGTTCTCCAGGGGACGTGCATTTTTGGTTACTGATGATGTCGGCACTAGAATGTGATTGGTGCAATATCTGTGTGGGCGGGAAAAAAATTAAAAATGTATATGATGTTCTCCAATCTGTCCAGCACCACCGAAGTTGTCTACACATCTCCTGGCAACACCGGCTCACAGTTGTCAGTCAGTCGCTGCCATTGAAAATAACCCACCCAGACGCTGTTTGCATTCATATGTTCACAAACAAAAGAAGCGTAATGCTTTTACTCTTTTTCTGAATTAACAAGATAGGCCTACTTAAACATCTTAAGAGAAGAACCCCATAAAATCCAGTTTTGAGGCATCATGATCTGCTGTCTTTACATAGATGGTGCTGTCAATCGTTTATTGACCCCATGCTTGAAATGATATAGGCCTAGCATTGTTGTTGGACGATCAAACTGATTAACATCAGCAATGCACCTTCTCCGATGGTGAGACCTTCAGGCAGAATTTTACTTTTTATTTTAATTTTTAGTATCTCGTTAATTCTGAAAAACAGAAAAAGGTTTTTTTCTCCGTGAAAACGTATCTTGTTATTCTGAAATAATTGTTTTGTTAATTCACAAAAACAGTGGATTTTTTTTCTTAAGTGAATGCATTAGGCTTCTGTTGATTCTTTTGGAAAGAAAATGCTGCACAATAACCGCAGTGTCATTGTTTGGAAGGCACTTTTTGAGTAAAGAAACAATCTATTGAGGTACTGCACATAGTATTTACTTCAGTACTTAAGTGACCCTGTCTCTTTGCTAATAGTTGCATCATTCTTTGAACCAAAACTGGACTTAACTCACTGCACTTGAATGATTTCTGCACACTATGCAGCGCTCCTTTATTTGTGTTCCCATGTCTGTCAATTTAAAGATGGCTGAATGTTCACTTGACTGTATATTGGGAGGGCTTCTGTAAAACATCATGGAACCTTAAAATCTGTGATTTTCCCCCCGACACACATTTCCTCTGCATCCAACGTCCTTGCCCTAATCTGTAATCTGTGTTTGTTCACTAAACTTTTGTATATGATATATAAAATGTGAATATGACTGTACTTCCTTTAAATGTCCAAATGATAAATAGCTCAATATAAATTCTCCTGACAAATAAAGTTGATAGATTTCCATCAGTTTGATTTTTAGTTTTGTCCAGTTAGATGAGTTACAATGAGGAGATGTTTCAATAATTGAATATAAAACTTTAATAGTTACATACAAGAATACTCTCCAAAAAATGCTAGTGAATTTGTGCGTATGTAGAAACAGAACAGGATTCCTAATGCGTGAATAAAAAATTCTAATCTGTACAGCCCTGTGCACACAACATTTTCCTGGCATAAATTGTACTTCGGCACTTCTGTTATATTATAGACTCATTCTGTAGAAAAAGATGAGCTGCATCATGACAATCAATAAAGGAATTATCACAGAATTTGCCCAAACACGTATACTGTAGAATATACTTACTTGTGATGATGATCCCTGTGTCAGAGGTATACTTGATGCACTATGATATATATAATAAATCCGGTGTATGGTTAGAAATCAACAACAACTATGACTTGCATTAAGTAGTTTCACCTTACAGAAAACAAATGGGGTACAAACATGAATGGATCTTTTCAGATCAGGAGAAGAAAGAAAACACAAGAGGGTTCAATGCAATTGGCCTTTTTCACAGCAGACATTTAGACTTATGGGAGAAAACGTACAGCTGTTACTAATAAAATTCAAGTGTCCCAGTAAGTACAGTATAACTGTTTCGACGGTTAGGCAGGTGTGTTCAATCCAGCCCTCTGGAAACGGTATTCCTCTTGTCTCCTCTCCCTGTCCTCTTATTTCTGTCTGTAGCCCATCTGTGTGGTGACTAGCATGTGGTAGACCCCCTTCATGGCCAGCAGCTGTTGATGTGTCCCCTGTTCGACCACCACTCCTCCCTGGAAGACAGCGATGCGGTCGGCGTTTTGGATGGTGGACAGACGGTGGGCCACGATGATACATGTCCTGCCCCTCCTGGCCTGGTCCAACGCCTCCTGAACCACCTGGAAAGAGCAACAGTGAACTCACATGAACTGATATAAAACATTTGGGGAAATCTTTTTTTTTTAGATCCACTTTCTCTCTTGTTTTGTACAGGTCTACCAATTTGGTTTTCCCGGTTCATATTTACAAATATGCTTTGATGGGATGATGCATGTTGATTTATTTTATATTGATGCATTGTCACAAAATTGTCAATGATCGAGTGCACTTTATGCATCCACACTGTCATTATCTGAGGGTATATACCGCAATAATACTGGTTAACTTACAACCATTTTTATTTATGTGTGTATGACTAAATTTAGTATTGCTTTTTGGTCCATTTTATCGACCATAAATGGTCTTTGTCTGCTTGAGAATTGTTATAGAAATTTTTACCTTGGTTTTGTCAACAGTGTATTTTATTGAGGCAAAATTTTAACCTTAAAGGGTAACTTTGATATCTTTAAACCTGGACCCTACTCAGCCATGTTTCATCTATGTGACTAATGTTACTTACTGATCAAGGCAGCGGCAGACCAGAGAGGTAAAATTACTGTTTTTGTGAAGGGAGTCGTTGAAAAGAGCGATATAGCGACTGTTTCTAGCTAAACAATAAGGATCTTACTCTTTAAAAAAAAAAAAAGGAATTTCTCTGTAGGGATAGTTTCCATGTTGTCAGGCGACATTATGGAAAGCAACATTAGTGGATGTACTTTGATGATGCATAAATGCCCAGAAGGATTATGTTGCAGCTTTGTCTCGCTGCTAGCTCACTCAATACTGGACCAATTTCAAGAAATGTTCTACCCTTTAGTCACGTGGACACAAAAACATGGGAAAATAGGGTCCAGGTTGTAAAATACCTAGGTTACCTTTATACAATACATAAAAACAGTTACATTGTGTCTTTAACACCTCTGTAAAGAGGATCTTTAGTCAGTCCTTATTTTCCATTTTTGAAATGAGTTTTTCTGGTTTAACAGATATTTCCAACCATAATTATAATCAAGTAATCAAGTTAAATTTCCGCAAAATAACTACTTTTCGTTATTTTTTAATTACCATCTTCTTTTGCATTTGTTTTACTGGCACCACCATCATTTGTGGGAAGGTTCAATTTATCTCATACTGTTGACTTTGTTTAGCTCAAGCACCAAGAAAAGACACTCACCTTCTCACTCTCAGTGTCGAGTGCGGAGGTGGCCTCGTCTAGGAGCAACACTTTGGGGTTGCGGAGAATGGCACGGGCTATGGCAATGCGCTGCTTCTGGCCACCTGACAGCTGCGTTCCCTTATCACCTGCCTGAGTTTCATACTTCTGCTCATACACACAGATAAGGGGAAACATGACATTGTTAGCTTTATCTCTGTGGAAGGTGGCTACATTTGTACAGTCTGTAAAATGCTCTACGCTTTAATTTACTCCAGTGCTGACCAACTTTTCAAGTTCATGCCAGCTCGAGACCACAAGAACCACATGTACCTGTAAACTAACTGCTCCCTATGTAGTTCCAGTAGCAAGGTAACATTACATTAAAACATTATCATTAAAGTATACAGTATACTGTAATCATCTCAGCATGACTGACATACCAAATTGCATGGGCATAGGAACTATACTAGTACCAGTGCTATGATATTGTCATATTGCCAAAATAAAGCATCCTGTAATCCACATACCTCACTGTGAACAGTTTTAATTGTAAATACTTTCTACTGAAGAGATGGTCAGGTAACATTTTATTTTTATATGTTAGGATTTTACTGGAAAGAACCATGCACTAACATTTGTACTAATTATAATGAAAATAGAAAAAGTGTGAGACTATTCTTTTAGGTAGAATTTATTTAGTTGAGTTTATAAGAAGTTGTTGACTGGCAGGAATCTTCTTGAAAGAACTGCTACATTTATCTATTCTTTATTCATTATTGGAAACTTTTCCACATATGTTGAATTGTAGACATATGTTACATTTTTGCCTGTTCAGCTGACCTGCTGTGGAATTTGAAATTTCAACACTGTATCTACTTTTACATTTTTACCTTTAATTAGTACCAAATTACATATTTCAATCTAGGAGATGTAAAAGACAAGATACCACAAGAGGTAAGATACTGTATTGTAATTTGGGTGAACAATCTATGACTCTGTAGAGTAAATAACCTTTAGGTGAGTTACCTTTGTTGCCATTGTTAAATCACTGGCACGCTATCAGACACCATTTCCCAAATACAGGGATCTTTTATCTTTGTGACTTAGAGGTCCTTGAGATCATTGTAAAGATAATAGCTTCTCGATATGAAAAAGAAATGTGTAAATAAATGAAAAATTGACACCACTCTTTTATTTTCAGATTGTCAAGACTGTAGATACAGCATTGTTGAAACGCCAGGACATCACAGCAGTTACCTTTGGCAGGCCTTCTATGAAGCTGTGGATGTTGGCAGCTTTAGCAGCAGCCTCTATCTCCTCCTTGGTTATAGAGCGGCTGTTGTCTCCATAGGCGATGTTTTCCGCTAAGGTGCAGTCGAACAGCACAGGCTCCTGGGATACAATGCCCATCTGGGATCTCAACCAGTGGATGTTCAACTTTTTTACATTTATATTGTCCAGCATCTGAAGGGAAAATTATTGCAGAAGGAGTGGTGGTGTTTGATGTCTTAAACCTGCAATAACTGTTATTTTTTCTCTACCAACTCCTGAGGCTGTTCAGCTACTAAATACTCCCACTATGTTAACCAGTTAGTTGCTAACTTTGTCTGTTTGCTGTTTGGTACTGAGCAGGTAGTGTGCAGTGGGCTATATTCTTGCCAAAAGCGATGTTGATGAGAGCAGTGAGTGTGAACCAAAATAGTCAAGCTGTGGGCCGGAAAAACCAAAACAATGAGAACAATGAAATATTGTATAAACTTTCCACAGAGCAGCGCCGACATATTTTCACAAACAAGTTGTCTGGTGATCCATTGTTAACATTGGATCATAGCCACTTCACATAGCCAGTCAATAAGTCACCAAGTTACAGTTGGTGGGGATTCAGACATGAAAATATTTCAATTCCCTAACCCTAACCCTTGTGCTACTAAAAGGAAAGCTGAATAATGGGGAGATAGCAGTAAACAGTGTTATTTTCTCCCTTGCAGGACTGTCAACAGCTACCCCATCAAGATAAAATGCAATGGTTAGTGCAGTAAAGATAAAACCATGCACGCAACAAAGACCTGAAACAGTCTCTAGGTCCCTGTCTCATCAGTACAGTGCTGTAAAGATGCCATAAACACACTGGCCAGCTAACCATTAGCTAACTGATTGTAGGTGAGGAGGCAGCCCATTACGCAAAGTGTGAATTTGTCTTCTCACCACTCTCCCCTCTCTGGCATCATAGAACCTCTCCAGCAGCTGGATAGTGGTGCTCTTTCCACAGCCGCTGCTCCCCACCAAGGCCAGAGTCTCTCCCTTTCTCACATTCAGATTCAGCCCTTGGAGAATGGGCACATCAAGGCGTGACGGGTAGTTAAATCTGACGTTGTCAAAGCACACGTTACCATCAAATTTTTCCTGGAGTTTGAAGAGATGAGACAAGAGAGTGACATGTTAGCATGTGTGTAAAGAGCTGTATTGTAAGTATTGTGTTTGCTGTGTGGGGGCGTCGTTGTTATGTACCGGCAACTCTCCCTCCTGTGACAGATTGTCAATTGCGGACTCTTTGTTTATCAGCATCATCAGGTGGGAAGCTGACAGTTTAGCCTTAGCATAGTTTGGAGTGAATGCATTTGCCTCTCCGACAGCCATAGCACCGTACAGAACAGCCGAAAACACACTGGGAGAGGAATTCAAATGCAAATTAGTTTTACCTTGCACACTTAAGAGTCAATGATGTGTTAGATAGGATTACATCAAACTAAGCTAACACAACCTAATGACACAATAACATTTGTGTGTATATTATGTGTTTGTAGATACTCATGACTCTAGGTATGGCATTGTGGGTCGGTCCACCACTTTGGTCAAGACTGAAAAATCTTGACAACTGACCTGAAATCTTCCACAGACATTCATGTTGTCCAGAGGATGAAAACACCTCCAGACTTTGGTGATACCTTGACCTTTTTACTCCAGCACCACCATGAAGTTGACATTTGTCGTTTTCAGTAAGTTCTTAGCAAATACTGTATAGACTGCCAGGAAATCTGGTTAAGATTCATGATCCCCTCATGACCAGTGTTTATAACCAAAAGCCTGCAAAACTAATGACATTCCCATCAGCCTCGGCTGTACCTTGTGTTCAGTGCTAATAAACAAATATTAGCATGATAACACGCTAAACTAAGATTGTGGACATGATAAACATTACGCCTGCTAAACACCAGCATGTTAGTTTTGTCGAAGCAATGCTGTACCTGTAAGTAAAGTCTCGCAGAGCCGCTAACAGTCCTGTTTCAACACTGATAACATTTCATACCATATATTGTATTTTGTATCTGCTTGTTTCACTATTTCTATAAGCTACATCATTCTAATACTGAGTAATATATTTTTACGACTGTAAAATTACACCAAATAGACAATTCTAGATGTCTTGTAAATCACTCAAAATTAATTTCCTATAATTCACACTCTGGGGTTTACAGTGCAAGTGTAAGAGGTTAATATTTATGTGTTTCAATGTTCCTTCAGAAGGTCAAGGTGCGATTAACTTTGGACTTCTCCTTTGTGTAACAGGTGGAATAAAAATGACGACAATGGCTCCTCCCAACAGAGACACACTGAGTAACATTAGCATCGTAAAACATGTGTGTGTGTGTGTGTGTGTGTGTGTCTGTCTGTTGCATCAGCAAAGGTAAAGGTGTCATTTGTGGCTGGGTGCTCCGAGATTGGAGCCCACGCATTCAGAGTGGCCTCTCACATGCTTCAGGCCAGGATAATCATTAAAAGCAATACAAACAATCTCTCCTCCCAGCAGGAATGCTTTGGGCTTATGTAGTAGTCTGATTAGTCATTATGCAGCAAAGCGCTGGAACCAACTGCCGGATGGTCTTATGCCCCAACCACTGTAGCTATAAAATCCAGACTGAAAACATGATTATTCTCAAGCACTTTTAACAAAAAGTTTTTAACATCCAAGGCCTTACTATCATTGCATTATTATTACTATTTTAAATCTTAGTTTATTTTTATTCTTTTGTCTAATTAAAAATAATTTCTATATAGATTTAACTTTTTTACAATGCACCTTTTTAACCTTGATTCTACCTCTGCGTATGAAACAAGCTATTTAAATGAAACTGCCATGCCTTGGTTTTACCTGCTGTAACCTATGAGTGTACCCACACTAAAACTCCTGGCTATTCATCTTCTGATTAAGAGACAAGACAAAGGCTGTTTACTCACAGGAATACATCCTGAGCATCCATCCTTCCAGCAACAATCAGCCAAGCTCCAAAACGGAAACCGGCTGCATAAGCGAAGTATATCATGGCTTGGGAGATGGAGAAGGTAAGACCATGCACATGGGCCTTTTTCTTGAAGTTCCTGTACAAATAGAGAGAGAAAGGTGGTATTGGAGACAGTGCTCCACAAATTAATTAATATGATTAAAATAAATGTATAGTTTTTCATTTATTCCATAAAGGATCAATGGTTTAAATGTCATGTCTCATACCTGAATTGCACTTTGAGGTTTTCCTGATACAAAGACTCAAACGTAGGTTCTCTGTTGAGAGAGACAACAGTTCGGATATTGTCGATGGCCTCTGTAGCAACCTTAGAGACAAACCATACAAACATTATGTTTACTATATGTACTGTAAGGTCAGTGTTTTAACAAATACTGCTCATCCTTAGAAAGTCATAATACTGTGGCACATTATACTGAATCCCTACCTTTCCAGCCCTCTCTAGCTCCTTCTTGTCTTCTCCAGCGGACCCGGTGAGCATCTGCATCTCCCCAGCTCCGGCCACTGCTATGATGGGCACCACAGCCAGGATGAGCAGGGTCAGCTCCCAACCGTAAATAAAGGAGATGATCACACTGGTGCCCATGTTGGCGACATTCTGCGCCAGTGTGGCCATACGTACACCTGTAGCCTGAGCAGATGTGAAAGATTACAAAAAAAGCAGATGACAGGATCAATGCATCAACTTACAATTGGTTGTGCTAGTATTTGGCAAATAGCTTTGTTTGTTGCATGCATGTGGCTGCTGATAAGTCTTACCCCTTGTACTTGAGCAGCGTCTGCGGCTAGTCTCGTAGTGAGCGCACCCACACTGTTTTTGGGGTTGTCAAACCAGCTGAGATCCTACAGGAAAACAAGTGAAACCATCAAAAGAAATAGAATAAATTCACTTAGAAATAAAAAAAAATTATGTACGACAGCAATCACAAATATATTTTGTGCTTGAGCGCCAAATTGTTCTGCGCTCTGTTAAAACCATTTAGCTTTAAAACTCCGGACAACCAAATTTCTCTGTATCATTACTTATGAATAAATAAATAATCAACAATCAAGGAAAGAACATGCTTATAATTTATTAAGAATTTAACACCAGAAAACGGTGTGGGTGTGGTTTAGGTCAGATTTTACCGACTGTGCTGACAACATAATCAAACAGCACAACCACTGTCATCAGCTTTTGAAATGCTGCTAAACTCTGGTGCAGGGAAATACATGCCATCACCCTTTTCCAACAGAGACCTACCCATTTCAAACCAATGACAAAAGCAAGGACAAAAACCCAGAAAGTGTGTGTGAAACAACAAAAATTGTTCTAGAGCTCCTAGAGAAGACAAAGAAAGAGAGGCAAGATTGTACGCACGGCATCAAAACCCCATTTTCCATTCTGGTACATCTACCCCATGGATTCCAATATCCTTTGCTCTATTACTAATTAACTCTCGTAAGTCTCTCATTTCAGTTTGTTGCACTCACCTGTCTCATCATGGACTTAAAGGCTCCGAGTCTCAGTTTCAGGGTCAGAATCTCTCCCGATTTACCAAAACAGAAACCCTGTTAAAAGTTTACAGACAGAAGACATGAGCACGTTTGCATAAACTTCGCCATCAGCAGCCGTTTATACTGCAACACCATCATCTGTATAAAACGTGTGTGTGTGTGTGTGTGTACAGGGGACACTTGTAGAGGCCCTCTGGTAATATCACACTGCACGCATATGTGTGAAATGTATCAAGGTTTCCACATTTTTAAAATCCTTGGTTTTAGGTATAAGGTTAGTAGTCACAACATGTTAATTAGCAAGATTTAGAGGCGTCACCCTATTCCCAGTCCCTGTGCTAAGCTAACCAGCTGCTGGCTGTATAGGTTCAAATGTGTGTGTGTGTGTGTGTGTGTGTGTGTGTGTACATGAATACCTGTAGAAACATCGTGACAAAGGACACAACTCCAATAAGAGCAAACATTAGGGAATAGAATGCAGAGTTTCTCCTGACAATCTCCTGATCTGGTTCTGCAAATACCTGAGAGAAGAAAAAAAACACCTCATTTGTAGTTTTCAGTTTCAACATCTGGCAAATGTTGCAATTAACACGAAACATTAAAATAATATTTGTGGTACACATATACGAAGAATAACCTACAAAGATGATCTCAGAGAAGATGACAGCGAACACTGGCTGCATTGCCCCGTTGATGATGGCACAGATGGTCCCCAGCAAAATGTATGGCCACTCGGAGAGGTTAAGGCGCATGACTTTAAGGAAAGACACGGGAGGCACATCTTCATCCTGCAGAAAGAGAAAGAACCAAACACCAAACCTTTAACTTTTGAGGCTTCTTCATATGCAAATGTTGACCCATCCACTCAAACCTCAGCAATGTTGCACCACAGCTCACCTCTTCTGTCTTGTTCAGGTGATACTTTTCTTTCCCCTCTTTCTCTCCCTCTGAGGCAACAAAGGAGGAACCTCTTGAGGACTCCCTCCTGTACAGCTTAGAAAAGGACTTGACTAATGGGCTCTTTTCATCCACAGACTCGCTGTCTGCTTCCTCCCAATCCTTGACTTTCTCCAATGTCTGCGGGAGGGAGAGACGGTGGGAAACCACAGACACGAACAATATCAATCACTGACCATTCACAAGTTCCCCTCAAGTTCATGTCCAACCAATCTGTATTTGTGTGTGTGTGTATGCTACCTGCATGGTGACCAGTTTATGGTAGATTCCCTTTGTTTCCATCAGTTCGGTGTGAGTCCCCAGCTCTACAACTTTGCCGTTCTGGAAGCCAGCAATGACATCAGCGTTTCTGATGGTTGAGAGGCGGTGGGCCACAACTATGGTGGTACGGCCCAGTCGGACCTGCACACAAAGATATGTCAGAGTTTTTGTGTCTTTGCTGACACAAGAAGGTGCTGAAATGCTTATTTATGTACATACAACATGTTTGCAGTTGTCATGTTTAGTGATGCTGTAATGGGCACAGTGGTGCTTTAAACTTAATGCCACCATCATGCTCATAATGACAATGCTAACATTCTGATGTTTAGCAGCTGTAATGTTTACCATGTTCTCCATCTTATTTTAGCAAGTTAGCATTTTCTGTTGTCACCACACTCAGTATTGCAGCACTGCATGACACACACTGGCATTATCATAATTTAGTCCAATATAATTTGGAAAGTCTAGAGGAGATGTGCTATTGAACTATTTTATACCATGTGTGTAGGGAGCCAGCAGGCAATCAGCTGGCTTGACCAGAGGAAGTCTCTGAGACAAAATTTCACGGCAATCTATTCACTAGTTGAGATATTTCAGCCTGGACCAAAGAAGTGAACTGAACAACAGACAGACCAACATTGAAATCCATGGAACCAGGCCATTAGCGTCACTTAATAAAGCAGTAAAACAAAGTAAACTAACTCATAATAAGTGTGTTTTCATTGAATTTCTTTAAAATGACATCACAATGTCTTCAATGTCAAAGTATAAAGTAAGCATTAAAGCGGTGTTCTGAAAGAGGCACAGCATGTGTCTGTGTGTGTTTGTACCTTGTCGAGTGCAGCTTGCACAATGGTCTCACTCTCAGAATCAAGAGCCGATGTGGCTTCGTCCAACAGAAGGATTTTGGGGTTGCGGACTAGAGCTCGAGCAATCGCAATCCTCTGCTTCTGTCCTCCACTCATCTGAGTACCCCGGTCTCCAACCAGCGTCTCGAACTTCTGCTCAAAGATAAGAGTCTCAGTATTAGCAAGTGGTGGAGAGAGATCTTGATAAGCACAGAGGAGTGGGAGTCATTAATACAGTCGTACATCGGGAAGGTTCATGATGAAGTCGTAAGCGTTTGCCTCCTTAGTCGCTTGTATGATCTCCTGCTGCGTCACGTCAAGTCGGCCGTATCTGATGTTCTCGGCGATGGTGGTGGCAAAGAGGATGGGCTCCTGACTCACCACTCCGATCATCTCTCTCAGGTAACGGATGTTAAGAGAACGAATGTCGTGATCGTCAATAGTTACCTAAACAGCGGGAGCCAAACAGATGCAGCACTTAATATCATTGGACCTGTCGAATTGGATGTTCTGCGTCACTGTTAACAACTATGTCTCCTCGTTTTATTGGTGTAGTATGGTGAGCCTCAGGGGTTGGATTTGGGACCTATATTATTTTCTGTATATGTGCTGGCCCTTGGACACATTATTCAGAAACATGGTGTCTCTTTTCTTGTTTTTCATTACTTTAACAGCCTTTTTACTTGCTTAAACAAAAAATCTATTGATCAACTCCAGACTGCACTGAACTCAGCTGCCAGGCTTTTAACCTGAACCAAGAAATGTGAAAGGCTCTTCATGGCCTCATGCCCTGCTATATATCTGACCACTTAGTACCGTTAAGTCTGGCCCATACTTTGAGATCCTTGAAGAGGTCTGTTGTCTGTTCCAGAGGCTTAACTGACAACTAAAGGGTCAGAGCGTTTGCAGTCTAGGCCTCGAAGCTCTGAACAGCCTGCCCCAGGAAATCAGGCCGGCTGAGTCAGTGAAATCCTTTGTCTCTTCTTATGATACTTTTATGGGAGATCCTCTCTTGATTTTACTTGACTTAAATTTTCTTTAAACTGTATTTTAATTTATTTTAAAAATTCTGTTTTCGTTTCAAACCTAATGTTTTTTTTATATTTTTCTATAAATTAAGATTATTATTATTATAGTTAAAATCTAAACACAGCTATGCATATTTAAAACAGCATCTCCTCTTTTGTTGTTGAAAGAATAGTTTCATTTTGGGAAATACACTTTCTTGCTGAGTTAGATGAGCAGATTGATACCACTCTCAAGTCTGCTATAATTGTGAATTTTTGGCCAGCAACTGGTTAGCATAGCTTAGCAAAAGACCGTAAACAGGGTGATAGCTCTTTCCAGCCTGACTCTGTTCAAAGGTGAAAGGTAAGCAATACTAAAGCTCACTTATAAACATGCTATGTCTTGTGTTTTTTGGGGGATTTGTGTGTTGAATTATTTCTTAACCAGGAGCAGTGACTTCCTGGAGATTCCGCTAGTCGCCTGCCTAAAGTGGTTATAAATATAACTTACTGCTCCTTCCAGAGGATCGTAGAACCTCTGCAGCAGCTGGATAGTGGTGCTTTTACCACAGCCGCTGCTACCCACCAAGGCAATGGTCTGTCCACTCTTCACTCTCAGAGAGAAGTTATTTAATACCTGCAAATCATAACAATGTCAGTTATGAGATGGCCTACAGTTTGAAGTAATATAATGTCGGTAAATTGTTTTCTGTCTATGCAGAACGTACGCTGATGTCCGGCCTTGAAGGGTAGCTGAAGTGGATGTTCTTGAACTCTATGTCTCCCTTGATGGAGTCAGGCTTGAAACCGGCATCTGAATAGCTGTCGATTTTCGGTTTCTGTTGAGACAAGAGAGAACATATTTTTACTTCTAAAACTCAGAAAAAACTAAAATAAAACTTCCTTGTAGTTTGTAGTTTGGCTTCAGTTGGATAAAGAACCTGATTCTCATCACAACCCTAATACAGACAATGAGAGGAATACCATTAGCCCTCCAGGTTAGGGTCAGCATATTTAACAAGGCTAATGTTTATTTTCACATCTCTGAGAGTGCTTCTCTCAGTGCCCTTAAACACACACAAACAAACACGCTTTTCCCTCTCTTGAGATCTGTGTTGATAGAAGATTTGTGTTATATCACTTAGTGAGGCCTCACCTTTTTGTATTTCAGACAGATAAGTTTATCTATTAAGGACCTCAAAGTCATCAGATGTCACAAAGTGCTTCACAATTAAAGATAAAAGCAAGACACAACATAAAAGTTATAGATAAACAACATATAAAGTAAATTAAACTACATAAAAGCAAGCTGTCCACAGATCTTAAGTCCAACTGGAGAGAGTTACATATTTTAGGAGCGATGACTTCGAGGCCACAGATCTCCTTCAGTTTAGAGCTGGGAGCATGCCCTCAGAGGAGATTTCATACTTTTTTCTGTCTTGCTTGAGGCTGTGTGTTCGCTAATTTGAATTCATGTGCAAACAGCTATTAGTGTAGAATGCAGTATCCCGTATCTATGCTTTCAAATGTATTTGTTGTCATAGGGAAATACTAGTAAACTGTACAAAACACACACACATATCCACAGGCATGTCTGAGAGGGGCTAGAGACAAAGCTCTGCCTGAAATTACCCTGGAAGACATTCAGTTAAACAAACAAACTTTCGGAAGCTATAACGACTACTTTACACTGCTGTGACATGACAAGGAATGACCGCAAATTTTTGATTGTTGAGCAATATTTGCAAAACTTATACCTCTTTTAACCTCACAGTACATTCACTAAGTTCAGGGAATGAATAACCACAGCTGTGCAATATCAACCAGATGACCTGCAATCTTCATTCAAACAGCAGGTGCTCTAACTACAGCAAAATCCAACATCTCATTACTGACTCCAAGTTGTCGGCAACCTCAAAGCGGCTTCCCAGAGAGCCAGAGTACAGCGGTGCATGTTTAGTAATACAAACTGACAGCTGTTACGCAGCAAAGAGATTTATAAAAATCTTTTAACATGAATGCTTTGGGGGAAAAAGGTGAATCCCTTACATGGTCAATAATGCTGTAGATTTTATATGCAGCTCCCTGGGCACTGGCAAAGGTCTGAATGTTGGGAGAGGTCTGTCCCACTGCGAACGCTCCAACAAGCACAACGAAGAACACCTTTAGACACACACATACACACACACACACACACACACACACGCACAAACATCAGTTTAAGCTGCAGCAACCTTATTTTTCCGTTTAAAGAGAAGAGAATCATTATCAATTCTGTCATAATGCGTCTACTCACAGTGAGCACAGTTCCAATGGTGTACTCATTACTCAAAACGAGTGTACTTCCATACCAGAAGGCCAGAGCATAGGAAAGGTAGATCATCATGAAGGTGATGCCCATAGCAATGTTAGCAGAGATTGCCTTCTTTATTCCCATGTTCTTAGCATCCTCCAAGTTCTTATTATATCTGTGGTGCAGTACACACACACACACACACACAGACACAAGCATGAGTGCTAATTCAATGGCGAGTAAAGTTAAGGTTAAATTTCAGTGCAACAACCACTGAAATTAGATTGTAATGACAAAAGGAGCATTTGGCATCAGTAGAAAACACTAATCCAATTCTATAGGGCTTTTAATGGGCTTTGTCCAGTTACAGCATTTGCAGGGGGGGGGGGTTACTAGGACTTTGATCACTTTATAAAACAATATTTATTTGCCTTGTACATGCAGTATGTTTTGTTGAATACAAAATAACCACATTTGGTAGTAACTTCATCATCATAACATAAAAACTGCATTATAATGTTTGATATTTGTGTGTACACCAGCACACGCCTATACCACATAATGTACATACCTCTTGATCTCTCTGTCCTGGCCACTGAAGGCAAACACTGTCCTGATAGCAGAGAGCACCTCCTCGGCCACAGCTCCAGCTCTGGCATATGCAGCCTGCTCTTTACTAGTGAAAGTCGCGAGCACCTATTCAGACAAGGAGAATGGCATAAAGTTATTAAGAATACCTGCAGACAGCTGTGAGGAGAGGCAGAAAGATGGACAAAGAGAATGCAAGCTTACCCTACTGAAAACTGCAGCTGAGATGCCCAGCGCAGGGCTCACAGCCAGGATGACGAGAGTGAGTTTCCAGCCTCTGATGAAGCCGATGATAAAGGATGCGACGAAGGTGGTGTAGGCCTGTAGCAGCCTCCCCGCCTTGTCGCCTATACCCTCTTGGATCTTATAGATATCACTGCACATGCAAATATAAACATATCCACCAGTGATGCTGCTGTTTTTCATTTTTGCTGTCTTCAAGGAACTATTTTGTGGAATTATTTCGAAGGAATTATTTAAACCTTCTGGAATCAGTTAGAGAAAACAAGTCAACTTGGGCTCTGAAAAATTATGATGGACATTTTTCACTGTTTGCTGGCATTATGTACACCGAGTGATTAATGAAATATGATTTTGAAACAAATTGTTAGTTGCAGCTTTAATTTACAGAAAGAATTTTTTAAATGACAATCAGTGCTGCTGACGTTCATGGCGGGATCACTGAACAGCATCATCTACACTTCAGGAATACAGACTGAAATGAGAAACACGTGTGTGATTTCTGTGTTACCCACTCTGTGAGACGTGTGTTGAGCTCTCCTGTCTCGTTGACATCGAACCAGCCGATTTCCTGCTGCATGATGCAGTGGAAAAACAACTGTCGGATGCGTCTGACCTGCCGCCCGGCTGCCAGGGTGAAGAAGGCCACCTGCATGTAAGCTGCCACCAGCACAACAGCCCCCAAGATGGAGTAGTAGATGGCATAACTGGATGAAGAGAAGTATCAAGAGACATATGACTTTAAAACTTGGTTTGCTTGGACATAAAGAGAATGACTGTTTATGCTGATAATATAAAGTCTTACACTGTCATGTCCTCTTCTAAGGTGCTGTTTGTTTGGATGTAGGTGAAATCTAAAGACAGAAGGTAATAAAGACATTGATAAAAGATGTTATATATTAACTCAGTGGCCACTTTATTAGGTACACCTGTACAATCTAATGCTGTCCAATACAACAACCCTGCCATAATGACTGCTTCTGTGATGTCAAATACTGGAAGTTAAAAAATGTCCTCCAGCTGAACTCAAAACAGAGATCCTTGTTAATGGGTCCCAGCACATGGCAAAACTATTTTGCCCATTTCCTGTTGGAATACATTAACCCTGTTATAAAGAACCTTGGTGTCTGATTTGACAGCACTTTAAGTTTTGAGCATCCCACCACAAAGCTTGTGCATATTTTTACTACCTTGGAAATATATCAAAAAGACAATCTTAACTTTTAAAGACACAGAGAGCATTTTACACTCCTTCATCTCATCACGCCTGGATTTTCACTTGCCTGAACCAAAAATGTATTGATCGACTCCAGACTGTACAGAACTCAGCTACCAGGCTTTTAACCAGAACCAAGAAACGTTATCACATTTTATTCTATTCTTTTTCTTTTAAAATCAGATGGTTTTCTAACTTGTGTGTTCTACTTTGCCGTCTTTAGGAAGTACTATTGTAAAATGGATTTTAAAAGGGACTCTATGAATAATGATTATTAGATTATTATTATATTGTCTGTCATTATAAAGATCAGAATGATGAGTTATTGTTGACACTGTCTTACATGTGTAATTTCAATTACCAATGTTTATTCATTATTGATAAAAGTGGCGTTGAACTGGACTACATTGTACTAAAAGGTGTTTCTACTTTTTGTTCTCTCTGTTTATATATAGGGGGGGGCACAGCATTAGAAAAAAATTTAAATTTGATGCAGTCAACAAAAGCTAAACATTATAGGCAGCATAAAAGCATACTTTATAACAGAACAGTTGTATTGAATTGCATTAGAGTGTACAGGTGTATACAATAAAGTGGCCACTGAGTGTATATTGCTTTTTAATTATTTATATGCATCAATTTAGTTCACCCATGCCTATAATTGAAAACTTACTGGGGTTGGTCATGTTTACATGGGACAATGAGTCTTTTAAAAAGCTGTCCGTCATGTCACCAAACACAATACACACTAAAGGAAGCACTACCCCATGGGCCATGGACATCACCGTTCCAAAAACGAGCAACACGATGTCCAAGCAGTTTGCAAACCTAAACTACACTCACATAAAAGAGAGAGTGTGGAAACAGCAAAGAAAGAACAGCAGAAATTAGTATCTGTAGCCTGTGTTGTGGGTGCTCCTGATAATTTGCTGGGTGTAAGAATTTTGAATTATGCAGTCAGAACAGGGGGGGAACTTCCAAGTTGTTGACAGAATAACAAAAACTGTAAGAAGCTATTATATTCTCACAGCAGGGGACTAGTGGAGTCCACCCAAACAACAGGAAGATGTGCCGCACTCCCATCCTCTCCCACGCTTCCCCTCTTACCTCACCCACTCACACACACACACCTTGCTGTTATGCTTGTCAGATAATATGTTTTTACAACATGAATATTAAGATCTGTCTTTTTACCTGTTTAACCTCTAATCTCAAAAAAAAAAACTAAATAAATGACATTTCCATTTTTCCTCTTTTTTTCTAACACACAATTATAGTAGCATTTTATATCAATATAAAAAACAGTAGAAATAATTAGACTGTAGAAAGTTTAAAAAAACAAACACATTATCTGCTTTAAAAAACTCCAGAGCACTTAACAACTGGTTCTGACTGAAGGAGATCAGCCTGTGATAACAGAGCTTACCAGGGCAATGGGGCCGACCTTGGGCAACTTTGGCTCTTTTTCTTTCTTCTTCTTTCCATTAAAATTGTCTTTCTTGTTGCTTTTACTGGAGAAGTCATATATAAAAAGCATGATGTCAAACATAAAGTCTAATTGCATAAAATAATAATATGACACAGGCACCTTAAATCGCGCCATTGTAAAATCGTCACTTTAAACCTTCTGAACTCAGTTAGAGAATCAGAGAATTTAATACCTTAAATCTCTATTTTCTTCCTGTTTGGCTGCGGCCAACATCTCCATTTCGTCCTTCACATCCATGTCTGGGTCCTGTCAGAGGAACAACCTGTTTACATATCACAGCTCAATCTAAGCAATCTATATTATTCTTTCTGAAGTACAACCCAAAGGGCAGCCTACAGGATCCAAAACTCACAGGTTCACTGTAGCCTATTGTCAAACTGTAGCATATGTTTCACCCAAAAGCAGAATAAAACAGAAAAGAAGTGATAGTAGCCTATTTCACCATTTCTCCGCCGTTGTCGACCCAGACCCCTCTCACTCTCAGTAGTCTTTTGAAAGAGTTGATGACCTGGTCCAAAGGCTATCCTGTCCTTCCTCAACCTCCGCCTCTACCTCACGTGTCTTTATAACAGCTGGAATTATCGCATGACCAGACCTGGTGGGACTGACTCTTTGCCGCCTCCCTCCTAAGAGAAATAAATTGCAGATTTGGCTTATTTGTGGCTCTTGCCGGACTTGGACTGGTTGGAGAGAGTCTCTCGATCATGTCCGTTGAACGAAGCTTCACAAGATAAAATCAATAACAGTCGGTCATCAGTGAGGGGCGTGGCTGATGCTGGCTGAGTGCAGGTGTCTATTTGTCTGTCATAGGCCTATTGTTTCCCCTAAGGAAGAGTTGCACATGTTCTGGAAACATGTGTAAGATCGTCTCTGTCCGAAGATAACAAAACCCATCCACGTTTAATGAACTTCTTGTAGGCTCTATTTAATTCATAAACTGGTAGGCTATGGGTTCATGTGTCTGAAGTAGTGGTAGGCTTGGGACTGTATGGCTACCTGGAGTCTCTGCTCAGTAACAGCAAGACCTGTAAAGCTCATTAATTAACGCCATTAATTAAATCTGTTAAAACAACAACAACAAAGTGTCAAAATGACACTTGGGGTTTTAAAGAAGGGTCTTCTTGTCCTCACCATGAAGTAGCCAGCTCAATGCGTGGAAGTCACTGCATCAGGCCAAGAATTAGTCCAGCACATGTAATCAACCTTGGCTTCACCTGGTTTTTGGAAATGATGGCTCACTTGACTGCAGTGTAACACTGCAATGTGTTTAACTAAATAAGCAAACCAGCTAAGTTACTGTCTTAGCAGACAAGTATTACAAACAGAAAAGAGTCTAATGATCTTCTCATCAAATTAAACATTAATACAGATAGGCCTACTCACTGAAAATAGAATTTTGGTGCTGGTTAAGCTATTATTTTCTATTAACTATAAAGTTTGAATGAATATTCCTGTAAAAGGTGAGAAGTAGCTATTGCAGAAAATGCAAATGACAGTGTTATGTTGAGTTTTGCATGAACCTCCAAATAGTGCTTTTAAACGCTATAAAATCCTTCATGGGGTTCATCAATGGTGATAAATGATTCGAGGTATATATTTTTTAAACGTTTGCAGTCGTTAATATTTTATTACACTTCTCGACACGCAGGCAGAATTCGCACCGGGAATGTGAAGAACAGTAAGCTATATCATGAACAAATAAAATACAAATAAAACATAAAACAACACATGTAAGATGTGCTACCTCAGTGTCCCCATTGAGTTTGTAAAGTTAGCCTCACCATTTCAGATCATCTCAAAGAAGGACTTTCCTATTCTGTTGATAGAGTAAATATTTGTCTAGGTAACTACATGACTTGAGGCAAACTACGTGTACTGGTTACTAGTATATGTAACAAACAAAATAATTAGTTTTAAAATAAACTTACAATGGAATATGGAAATCAGCAAGATCTGCAAGGAAAGCAATGCCAACAACCCTTCATTGTCATCCTATTGTCTTGAGTTAAGCTTGACCAAAAACAGTAGTGGAAGTAACTAAGTAAATTTTTTTGATTACTATTCTTAAGTACAGTTTTAAAGTACATGTACTTTATTTGAATTTCTATTCAGAGATACTTTCGGAGTGATATATATTGAACTTTTTACTCCAGTATATTTAAACAGCAGTCTTTTTTTTTTGAGTTTGGGTCTTGTGGTCCCAGCCCTTAGCTGATCCACCAAATGTCCTCTCTAAAATTAGCATATGGCTTCATTTAAATTCTTGTTTGTGGCCTTAAGGAAGATTACATAAAAGTAAAAAAAGAAAGAAACAAAGAAACAAAAACATTTATTTGTGCAGAAGAAGGAGACTTGGAATCTTAACATCAGTGTATTGGTACTTTTACTTAATAAAAGGTTCACTGACCAAGACAGCCGAAAAGGCATATGGGCAGGCAAGTCTCAATTTGCCTTATAATTCACGTGTTTTGCTTTGTTGCTTTTTTGTTTTGTCGTTGATTCATTTGAATTTAAATGTTAATTATGTTATTAGTTTTAAAACAATAGTTCTAATAAATAAACAACATGAGTCCAATTAGTACCAATGAAAGTAGTGAAAGTAAGTAAATAGGTAATGATGAAAAGTTATGATAATGATGATGATACCAGATATAATGGGAGTGAGGACAACAGTTGAAAATATTAAAATGATAATTTATCTATGGCTTCTTCAATGATCCCCCTTTGGTATGTTATTAGCTGTATTATGATGTTATTTTAGGATCATAATATTATAAAATAAGATACTTAGCATCCATTTAATGTTTGTAAATTGTGTCAATGTCCATGATTTTATCAAACACAGTGCTTTATCGTCTGTCCTTTTATGTTGTCACCTGTGATCTCGCTTTTTTGCATGCAGAACAATTAATATTATAAATATGTTTGGATTTTTTAACTCCAGAAATCAAAATCTCACAAGAAATCCCCCTTTACCCTGTCTGAAAGGAAGAGAGAGTAGAAAGAGGGAAATGGAAGAGCATGTGTTGTTTAACGCTTGACATTACTGCTGTGTGGTGTCGAATTGTGAAATTAATGTGTTGCATGAGGTCATAATGTTGTCTCAGTGTGGGTCAAAGGTACGGTACAGTAAGATGAGTCAAGAGTGATTAGAGTCATCATTTTGCAAACCTTAAAGGACTTATATCCATAATTTAATCTCCTGTTGAACTCATTGACATAACATTGTTTGACATCCCCCTTTGTCTTCATATTGTGCTCCTTACCTTTGTATAACTTTCCTTTGTGAGTATCTGATATCTAAGAGTATTATGAGTAAAGAACTGCAGTATATTGTATGAAGGGATCCTATGGTACTAGTGTTTTATTTTAAATCCTTCCCTCACCTTTGTTCTTACACCAAGATAAAGCAAAGCAGAAGCAAGCCACATTTCTTATCACTTCCATAAGCAACTCAGTAAAGTTCATCATTCTATGTCATGTGCTTCCTTTAAAGAGTGTTTTTAACACAGTCACCAATATCATGGGAAAACACTCCAGTGGTTTGTTTGATTCACGTCTCCTAAAGTGAACGTTCTGGCTGCTGTTTCAGCCAAAACCACAAACAGCCGATTAGTCAGTACACATGAAGGTAAGAACGTTGCTGCTTCTGGTTTGGTTTCCTTTATACACACAAGTAAATATTCAAGTTGAGATCATTTTATGTGTCAAAACATGGGAGGTGGTGTAAAGAGTTTATCCATAATATTTGTGTTGCTTTCAAATCTAACAAGTGGATGGTCTCAAAACATGTTTTACCAAATTATCAACAAAAAACCCTTCATGATGTAATGTAATGCAATATAACAGCACTGCAATAAATACTACTGTACATGCAACTGACCATCTGAGTCACCCGAGGAAGTGAAACAGTAAAAATACATAATAAATGCACAGCATAAAGTAAGATACATGATTACACAGTAAGTGGTGAAAGAAATCACAATAAATACACAGGAGAAAATAAAAACACAGATAGATACATTAAATGCAGACCTGGTGCATACAGGTTACCCAAACACAGGTGTGTCTTTAGCTGCCTTTTGAAGGAATTCACAGCGTCACCAGACCTTAATGGTGCCAAGTCAATACATTTACTGAAGTAGTGTATTAAAGTATAGTTTTGAGGTATTTGTACTTTACTTGAGTATGTCTAGTATCCTATTTGTTATATCTACTCCACTACATTTATGTGACAGGCGTAGCAACTACGTTACTGACGAAGATTTGACGCCCCCTAAAAACACATCCATCCATCCATCGTCAACCACTTATCCTGCATACAGGATTGCGGGGCTAAAAACACATCATAAGCTTAAATAAAATGTATACACAACACAAAATGGAGTAACGTAACACCTTACAAAAAAAGCCATGAATGGTTGGTGCACCTTGTCATCTCTATGAGTCGTTAGCAGCTCAAAAGAGACATTTCCTCCCTAAACACCTCCAATGGTTAGGTTTAAATTATTGTTTTTGGTGGTGGAATTAGGATAGAAAGAGATAGAATTACCCAATATGTTACACAAAACTAAATTAAGGATTTTGAATGCTTTTACTTTTAAAAGATTGTTTTTTAATCGTTTTCTTGGTATTTTTACTTAAGTAAAATATCTGAGGACTTCTTCCACCACTGACTATAATGGAATCAAACACAACACTAGAAATAACTTCCTTTAAAAAAGGATTAACATGTTAAGAGACCCCCAGGGACCCAAAATTACATTAATAATGCAAATAATCAAATTCTCAAAAATCAACCAACACAGTGACCCTGGTATCAGTCTACATCGTAGTTGTCACATTAGCTGTAGCGCTGACTCCTCCGTCCTTACCACATATTTCCTTGTCACAAGTGGAACGAGGCAAGGAGGACATAAGTGAAGGAAGCAAGGGTTCATAGATATAATATTGGACGGAACCCAGACTGAATATGTTATTGTCTCTGAGGCCACTGGATGGCGCTCCTTCAAGACTGGATTTAAAGGCACAACCAGTGATCTAAATGCAAAAGCATGTTCAAATCAGACCAAAATCAAAACACAGCACTGGAACATGGAGACACTCTCACACTCCTGTTTACTCACAGTGTAAAACAAACATTAAACAAAACTACAAAACAACTAAATGTAAGTCATAATGTTTTCTGTGAAATGTTCACATTGGTAGCCTGATTTTTTGTTAACACAGGATTAAAACAAATCTAGTATTTCAGTTAGCCTATGATAAACTCAGAAATTGATAACTCAAACTCTTCAATTACACGTGAACATACCTGTGATTCATTTGGTCAGAAATTGCCCAGTCATTGAGCTGGCTGCAACTACACTCTTTGAATGTGATGTTAAAAGAGCAATTTAAAGATACAGAATATTTTCATTACTTTTGTTGGATGAATCTGCCTTGTAATGCTGATTAAAATATGCCATTCACACGAGATCATTTCCTTTCTATGGATGATAGGCAGCCAATCAGACTGATTAACTCTTCAGACTGATAAAAATCATCTCGACCATCTACTGTCTGTCAGAACTCCCTTTAATTATAGCACCATACTTCCGGTTGGACAATTGTGCTTTCAAAATAAAAGTAGGCCAACTTGGAACATTTAAGTCAGTGTTTGGTGAAAGAACAACATAAAATATAATCTGAAAACAGAAATTCACTCCCTTGAAAACAATGTAGAGGACATGGCCTTAGCTATTACCCCTGTATACAGAACACCAAACCATACTGGACCAGTCAGTTTGTGCTGATACAGTTTATTTTTTAGAGCACACAGCATGAGCAGCATCTTCCTGAAAAACTCTTGAATTACAACTTATTTTTGAACATTTTTAATGCTCATGTCACTTATTTTACATGGCCACTCATAATCAAGAATCATAAACACTTTAAGACAGAATATTTGTCAAAATTGCACAATTTGAATTGCGCAGTTTTAATTATTATTGTGACTTCTAGTCTAGTATAAGCTAATTTCAGCTTTTCAGTCATTACATTATAGAAAGTGTTTGTTGATCAACATTTGTAGTCTAGTAAATCTAATACTATGCAACTGGCTTTCATGCGTGTATAAATAAACAACAAGCAGAGAGGCTGCTGGTCTGTCTTTCGAGCTTTTATTTTTAAGGCTCCAACCGGAAGTCCAATAACACTAGAGTTGACGCAGCCTCAACCACTCCTTCAGCTGAGGAGCCTGTGGTTCCTCAGGGTTGACGGAGACAGCTGGTCCTGCCCTGCTGCAGAAGGAGCTGACAGGGGGGACGACGCACCGCCTCCGGCCGCAGCCACGGACACGGGCCGGGGATGGCGTCGCTCGGCGTGGGGCTGCATCTCATCCGCAAACGCGGAGCAGGCAGGAGCGCCGCGGTGGAGAGGAGGAACCTGCTCACGGTGTGCAGGTGGGGGTTCCTCACACTGTTCTTTCTTGTAATGACAGGGTGGATGAAACCGCGTCTGCAGCTGATTCTGTGACGGCAGATTTGTTAATTCACTATGTCAGAGGCACGCGTTTGTTTGAGGTTAGCTCTGGGAGCAGCAGACTTCATATGCACACATAAGAAAGTCATTGTGTGTCTGCTGGACGAGTTGCATTGAAATATTACAGAAAATGTTTTAAAAAATCAGCTGGCTGAGCTCAGGTAAATGCCTCTATCCTGTGAATTGTGTATTATAATCATAAACACACAAATAGCCTACACATTTACGCCCACCACCAGCAGCCTCCGTTAAACATTCATGCAATCACATTTCAGTTTTAATTAGCCTGCCCTCATAATCAATTCAGTGTAGGATTAAGGCCAGGATTTTAGACATACTGACCCAATCCAAATTCCTCTATCACAACCCCACCCAGATTTTAGATTAGCCTTCAAAAGCAATATGTGAAATGTGTTCTTGTATGTTCATGTAATCTCTAATTTTCAGTTAGTGATGGTTTAAAGACAGTTCCAGACCTCCCTCCATACTTCCAGGAATATAATTCAAGTAGATAAATAGGCTACTGTGCTTTTTTTAATTTTTTTTTAAAAAAGTAAATCTTTTTTTAAATTTATTGAAAGACATTAAGTCTAGAGAACACTGCATAAGATCTGGGTGTATTTGCAGAATAAAAACATCCACGATAACAACATTGAGGACATGACCTCTGCTCTCCATTCATTCCTTAATGCATTTCTAAAAAAATAAGCTGAGTAATAAATATGGAGCAAGGTAGCAGCGATAGATGCTGAGGTGTACACACATGTCGCCTGCCTGTTTCTCCTCCTCTCTTTGTCAGTAGAAGTGAAAAGCTCTCTGCTCTGAGTATTGATTTGTGGTCCTCTCTGCGCTGCTTGCAGATCGTTTACCGACTGACAGTCCCTGTGGTGTGTTTGAGACAGAGAGTAAAAAAGAAGTAAGAGAAAAGGGAAGATTCGGAGGTGTAGCTTTTGTATTTTATTTTGGCACAAAGAGAAATGTAACAGTACAGAAAAAAATCTGATAATGCACCACCTGCTCCAGCTAGTGTCTGCTCAGCTGTTTTGGGGGACGTATAGAAAAAAAGGAACTTAATACAATTTTCAGGTTCAGGACGGTTCATGTGTGACCCAGCTCGGAATGCCTTCCTCCGTTAACGTCACTTGAAGCAGATGTAAAGGGAGAGTAATTAGACACAGGTGCCTCCTTCCTGACCAGGCTGGTCCTTTTCCGCCTCTTTCAGCCTCGCACCAGCCATCAACTCGCTGACTGGCACAAGCGGGGGTGGGAGAAGTGTGAGAGAAGTGATGGCAGATTGGCAAAAGAATAAGGACTAGATGGAATATTACTGCAGTTAAAGAAAGACTGAAGAAATCAACTTTTTGCATACTTTCCCATTTTGTGTCCTCTTAAGTAGTTTTAAGGTTATCAGAATCATCTTTTATATAATACCAAATATATACTGGTTCCACCTTCTCAAATGTGAAGATTTTATGCTTTCTTTATTATATATGTATTATAAGGAAATATCAGTGATTTTAAAACCTGGGTTATTTTGACATGAAAATATGTGAAAATAGGGCCCAGGTTTAAAAATAGCCAAATTATCTTTTATTATCTTTGGGGTTTGGACTGAAACAAGCAATTTGATAGTCATGTTGGGCTAAATTTTAATTGTTATTTTATACAATCTTTCTGTCATTTTAATGGCAAAAAGATTAATCAAGTGGACTAATTGATAGTTACTCTGGAGCCCTAGTGACATTTACAGTATATTTTGTTTTGACTTGTTGTATTTTTCATGTTTTTTATGGCTGCAAATTCTGGATGTCTTGTACATGTACATATTTGGGTCTTCTTCACTAAAACTTAAATGTTTGTCTACACAGCATACGGTTCGGCAACTTGAGTTAGATAGTATGTCTGCTTTTGTGTAGATGAGATTCTGTAGGGGTACAAAGAAACTGAGAAAATTAACTGTATTGTCTACAGTAGGCTGCTAGTTGAAATAGAGCAGCTGAAGACACCAGCTTCTCTCTCCTTCATAAACCCTGCTGCTTTCAGTGTTTGGACTCCATGTTTGCTGTCTTTGTCTTTGTACACACTGTCAGTCAAAGGTTTGAGACGCATATCCCATATTAATACAACAGCTGAAATGTCATCCTCATTGTAAGTACATAAATTAGAATTATACAAGAAAGGGGATGTAGTTAGTCGGAGGTGTTTATTTGTGTTCACTTTCTCTGTGCTCTATAACTTGGATGGAGGTGATGCCACTGGTGCTGATGAACTTATTACTCTTTTTAATTCAACCTGCACAAACATCTTGGGCTCTGTAGCTGCTTTGAGGATGAAACGCACTAAAGCACTTTCAGAGCCCTGGTTAAATTACACCACCCGTGCGCTCAGACGTGCATTTCGGCAAGCTGAGAGAAGGTGGAAGAAAGATAAACTCAGAGTGTCATATGAAATCCTACTGCAATATCTATCTATCTGACTATCTGTAAAATCTGTAAAATATGCAAAATCTGATTTTATTTCTAAGCTGGTCGCCATCAACTGTCACAGGCCACAGGTTCTTTTTAATATGTTTAACACCATCACAAATCCCCGCAACTCTGCTACTATTACACCTACATTGGACCTCTGTGACTCTTTCCTAAAATTCTTTGTTGAGAAGATTTTTGCTCTTCGATCTTCTGTAACTACATCCTCTGACCATGATCCCTCTGTTCCTCCTATTTGCCTTGCTGTCCTAGATCAGTTTGAGCCCATATCAATCTCCTCCTTATCTGAGGTGGGCCATCATCTGCGGCTCACAAATTGTCCCTCAGACAGCATTCCTTCTCGTATGATTAGAGAAGTCTTTCATACCGTTGGACCATGTATTTTGTCACTGATAAATACCTGTCTTGTCTCTGTTTATGTTCCGTCCGCCTTCAAACACGCTGTTGTACAGCCCCTGCTAAAAAAGGAAAATCTCGACCCCTCTGTTCTCTCTAACTTCAGGCCCATCTCTAAACTGTCTTCTTATCTAAAGTCCTGGAGAAAGTAGTTTTTACCCAGCTGCAAAAATTTTTAATTAATAATAATATTTATGAAAAGTTCCAGTCTGGCTTCAAACCCCGTCACAGCACTGAAACGGCACTTTTAAGAGTTTTTAATGACTTGATTAGGGACTTAGAAGTCTCTGCCGTCCTAGTGCTCTTAGACCTCACTGAAGCCTTTGACACTGTTGACCACTCAATCCTCTTGTCACGGTTGGAAAATTGTGTGGGAATCAAAGGTACTGCACTTAGGTGGTTTCAGTCCTATCTAACAGATAGGAGCTTCTCTTTCCACCTCGGTGATCATTCCTCTGAGACAGCCCCATTTACTTGTGGTGTCCCTCAAGGTTCTGTCTGAGGCCCCATCTTATTTCCTTTGTATATGCTGCCCCTGGCCTCCATTTTTGAGAGGTATGGGGTCTCTTTCCACTGTTTTGCAGACGATATTCAAATTTATTTGCCCCAGAATGTTATTTGCCCCAGAATGTAAAAACAAGTCATCTACTCCGTGCCTGCAGTTAGTCCAAAATGCTGCTGCCCACCTCCTGACAGGAAAGAAGAAGAGGGACCACAGGGGATCACATCTGTGTTGCGCTCCCTCCACTGGCTTCCTGTTCATTACAGGATTGATTTTAAAATCTTACTTACTTACTTTAAATGCCTTAATGTATTGGCTCCATTGTAATTAACCAAGCTTCTTCACGTTCATACTGCAGCTAGAGTGCTGAGATCCACCAATCTCCTCCTCCTGGATGTACCCAGAAGCAGAATTAAAACCAGAGGCGATCGAGCCTTTAGTGTAGTTGCTCCTAACCTTTGGAACAACCTGCCAGTCCATATCAGAACCGCCCCAACCCTGTTAAAAACACATCTCTTTTCTTTGGCATTTCCTTCGAGTTAAATCTGTTATTATTCCTGGCAATTTTAATATCACTATATATCGTATACTGTACATTATAATGTTTTATTGCTGTACTTTTACTGTGTAAGGAGTGTCTTGTTGTTGTATTTTAACCTGTAAAGCACCTTGGTCAACCTTGGTTGGTTTAAGTGTGCTATATAAATAAAATTGAAATTGATACTGAAAATAATCAGTCAAAAACACATCAAACATCAAAACATTACAATGTATAGTACATTGTCTGCTGCAGGTGTTCCTAAACTTTGAACTGGCAATCATTAGTTGATATTAACAGCAGAATATTGTACATGTGTTTTTCCTGTCCCGCCTCTTTCAAAGGAAGCACACGCTCTGTGGTCACCCTGCTACTAAGCAACGAAATAGAGATATGAAGTCAGTAGATAACATTAAGGGTTAAACACAATTTGGCTGAACTTTCAGAACACATACACACAGCTACACATACGCGCATCCACACACTGCAGCCTTGCCTATTAACTCTCCTTCCTGTCTAATTAGTTGAAATCAGATTAGTGCACATGACTGTCAGAGCAGGCAGCACGTTATGAGTGGTTCCCTCACAGGATATTAGTTTACAACTTTGGAGGGCCGATGTGTTTAGTGTTCATGCCTAGTAATTAATGACAAATGTTATGTTCAGAGGAAGACAATAAACTGTTTGTGTTACGTTAAAGATGACTCTTCTTTCAGTTGTTTGTTGTGTGCATTTGGTAAAATGTACATTGCCAGTGGGAGTGTGCCAAAGTAGTAGAAGCCCCTGATATCCTGACTTATTTAGTAGTTTGTGAAGCTCCAAAAACACTCGATCCTACAATTCCCATAATGCAACTATCAGCATCTTTCCATTAGACGCTCCTTCCAAATAAATGCCCATAAAGTTCCATGCAGTCTCCAAGCCAAGGTGACCCCTGGTGACATGCTCTTTACTGCTTACTCTGTGTAAAATTTGTGAAGTTGCCCTTTAAACTGCAGGTCCAATCACTGATTTTAATAACGATGAGTACGTCTTCTCTTCTTTTCAGGTTTTCAGTGAAGACTCTTCTGGACCGCTCATGTTTTGAGACAATAGATGACTCGTCTCCAGAGTTCGTTAACTTTGTTTCCATCCTGGAGCACATCCTCAGTCATCGACTCAAAGGTAAAAACGTAAGCAATATTCTTATTACCATGCACAGTATATTCTTATTATTCTTAAACTATACGCAGAAAGTTTGACTCCTTTCCTTATGTTTTTCCCCACCCTAACAGCCTAAAAGAAAAAAGTCCAATTAGTGCACAATTTATGTCACCTGTAATTTCCGGGTAATAAACCCGTCAACTGTTTGGTTAACAAATGCAAAGTTGATTCATCTTTAAAATTCAGAGCAGTATGAATGCAGATCCAAGCTTGTTAAAACTGCCATTTCTGTCTCTTTCTCACTCAGGCCAGACAACGTGGTTTGGCTATGAGAGTCCTCGGAGTTTCTGGGATTACATAAAGGCTGCCTGCAGTAAAGTCCCTCATAATTGCATCCGGAGCATCGAGAGCATGGAGAATGTGCGATCTTCGAGGGCTAAAGTGAGCATAAAACTGTCTTGTGATCCAATTTGATTACCTGAGGCAGAAGAAAAGAAAATCACTTGAATCTTCAAAATGTCAGAAAGTCAAATACAGAGTATTTGATAACAAAACAAAATATGTGTTTTATTTATCCCAAAATTGAAAGTTAAAAGCAAAAATCAGTTTTGTACAGACAGCACTACATCTTCTACTTTGAGTAACTTGCTTGATTTTGGCTTACTGTACATTATCCCCTTAGAGAAAGAACAAAGAACAAAAAACAAAAAAAGGAAAAAAAAATATTAAGAACGTCCATGCACATAAAACGTGACTCAGTCTTACCCCGTGGGTAAGAGAGCAAACGACTGGAGCTCATGTTGTTCTACAATCAGGCTGCAGGTGAGAACAAGACTTGCTGTTTCTCTCTCTCTCTCTCTCTCTCTCAGGCCATGAACTGAGGAATCAGAAAAGACAGCTTTGCATTTATATCAGAATCAGCTTAATGGGCTTAGTATGTGTACAAATACCATAGATTATATATATATTATAAGTATATGAAGAATGGTGCAAAGGAATACATTTTGAATTTCCTTTGTTACTGTTTCAACACATTTTGTAGGATTTTTAGTCATGAGACCTCCCAGGCATCATAATGGCTTTCTGAACTTTTAATTAAAGTAAAGCATGAAAAATGCCAGGAAATGCATGGTATCTAAATGACAAGTCATTAATAGCCATTTCATCAAGGCCTTTTGTCTGCTTTCCACTCAGCAGACTTTAGGGAAGTCAGTGTCGGTAGCGGTAACTGTTGCATACTATATACTATGGTGATCCCCTAGATTTACATTTTACCCAGAGGATGAATCCTAATGAATTTGATGAGCCCCTGACATTTCCAGTCACGCCACCAGCAGGTCAAGTTTTCACTTATCCAGTGAAACATCTCAACATCTATTAGATGGATTGGCACAGTATTTTCTATAGACATTCATGGTTCTCAAACAATGACTCTTAATGATTTTGGGGCGACTGTGGGTCAGGAGGTAGAGCGAATCGATCAGAAGATCAGCGGTTTGATCCCCGGCTCCTCCAGTCTGCATGTCGTAGTACCATTAGGCAAGATAGTGAAGCCCAAATTGCTCCTGATGGCTGTACATTGAGTAGTCAGAAGACTAGAAAGGCACTGTACAGTCAATTTACCATTTACCATGGTTGAATCCCTGATGTTTACTCCAGCGCCACCATGAGGTTGACATTTGTGGTTTTGAATAAAATGTCTCAACAACTGTTGGATGGATTAAAATTGTTGAACACATTAATTTCCCTCTAAATAATGAATCCAAACGACTCTTTGGTGAGCCCCCGGATTTTTCAGCTGTACTATGCGTTTGTGCTGATTAATATATGTTTGCATGCTAACGCGCTAAACTAAGACAGTGAACATATTAAACGTTACACCTGCTTTAGCTCAGAAGCACCACCATTCCTAGTGCAGCCTCACAAAGAAGCTGGCTCTTTATTCTTGTTATCATGTCTAGAGTATTACTGGTAACATAAGCTTCCACTAACAGCTCAGTGTTACTTGTTTCTCTTTCTGCAGGGCAGGGCGTGGATCAGAGTGGTGCTGATGGAGAAACGATTGTCAGAATACACCTCATCAGCACTGAGGGACTTCAAAACGACCAGGTCTTAATGTGGTGCTCATATACTGTACACACACAGTTTCTGCTTAGGATAGAGGAGCTTGTGTTGAATTAATGCCAGCAATGTGTTGACCGTAGGAGGTTTTATGAGGACGGAGCGATCATGCTGGGAGAGGAGGCAGGGCTGTTAGCAGACACGCTCATCGGACTCAACACCATTGACTTCAGGTACAAACCTCCTGCTAATTCTTACCGTAACTCTTTGATCTTGCTTTCTCTCCTTGTTGCAGAGCTGGTGTGTAGCTTTCTTTACATGAAATACACTTTTGGCAGCATTGTCATCGGAAAATTATCAATCTCTCTGCAAATGCTGAGGGTGATCCAAAAAACTTTCACCTTAATTAAAAATGAGATTGTAGATTGAAAAAGAAGCTGCTCCTCTTGATTGAAATTGAAATGCATTGTATATTGAATACTATATATTAGATAGGACATGGCAAAATACCAGAAATACCTTTTATAATACAAAAGCCTTTTTAAGTAGTGAGTAATGCTTTTATAACATTGACAATGTTCCATTTTTGTTGAGGTTTTTCAGAGTAGCTGTGGCCACTCCCTCACGCATTTAATTTAAACAAACAAAATTTAGTTTGCCACCTTGTTACGCATAAACCTGTTTTTCTGTAACGCGTAATCAGATCAGGCAGTTACTCAAGTGAGTTGCAACGTAGCGGGCTGGCAATCACCATTTTTTTCCAGAGATACAAAGAGAGTCAGAGGCTTGCCTCCTAACCTGCAGGTGCATCACTTGCAAACATTGCAGGCGTAAGTGATGGGGCAAGAAAGAAAGCATCAAATAATAAATTGTATATGTCACACAAGGAAACTTTATTAGAAGAGAGACAGAGATCCTCAGTGGTAAATTAAACACACTTAAGGAGTTATTTGCTGAACACTATAAACAGTGTCCTCAAAAATAACCATCAAGTAGAATCAGCACTGTGGTGATATTGGTGTGAGGTTGGGTGTGATTAGCAGAGCCTGTTTTTGTTGTTGTTTGCAATGTTTTTTCTGAAAAAGCATTCCAAAATAATTTCTTAAAATATAAACAAATATAAAATACCAGAGGTTTAGAAATGTGTTGCGAATGCGCGTTTGGTAAAGCAGCAGTTGGGTTCAGATCAGTAGTTTTGACATTTTAGATAAAATTAGACATTTTCTGATGAACGTAAAGGTACTCAGGAGAAATATACCACCATCTGATCGTGATGAAAGGACGTATACAGCGCCTGTAACAGAACTCATCTCCCTAGTTTTCACGTTTACAACATTGAATCAAAGTATATTTAGGTTGGCTTTTTTGGACACTGATCAACATAAAGACTCAGTCCAAGTAAAAAAACAGATCTCTAAAGTGAATCAATGAATTACAAATATAATATACAAAAGATTCTTTGCATAAGTATTTACCTACTTTAATAGAACATACAGTGGGTACGGAAAGTATTCAGACCCCTTTAAATTTTTCACTCTTTGTTTCATTGCAGCCATTTTCCAAAAATCAAAAATTCATTTTATTTCTCAGTAATGTACACTCAGCACCCCATCTTGACAGAAAAAAACAGAAATGTAGAAATTTTGGCACATTTATTAAAAAATAAATACTGAAATATCACATGGTCATAAGTATTCAGACCCTTTGCTCAGTATTTAGTAGAAGCACCCTTTTGATCTAATACAGCCATGAGTCGTTTTGGGAAAGATGCAACAAGTTTTTCACATCTGGATTTGGGTATCCTATGCCATTCCTCCTTGCAGATCCTCTCCAGTTCTGTCAGGTTGGATGGTAAACGTTGGTGGACAGCCATTTTCAGGTCTCTCCAGAGATGCTCAATTGGGTTTAAGTCAGGGCTCTGGCTGGGCCATTCAAGAACAGCCACGGAGTTGTTGTGAAGCCACTCCTTCGTTATTTTAGCGGTGTGCTTAGGGTCATTGTCTTGTTGGAAGGTAAACCTTCGGCCCAGTCTGAGGTCCAGAGCGCTCTGGAAAAGGTTTTCGGCCAGGATATCCCTGTACTTGGCCGCATTCATCTTTCCCTCGATTGCAACCAGTCGTCCTGTCCCTGCAGCTGAAAAACACCCCCACAGCATGATGCTGCCACCACCATGCTTCACTGTTGAGACTGTATTGGACAGGTGATGAGCAGTGCCTGGTTTTCTCCACACATACCGCTTAGAATTAAGGCCAAAAAGTTCTGTCTTGGTCTCATCAGACCAGAGGATCTTATTTATGACCATCTTGGAGTCCTTCAGGTGTTTTTTAGCAAACTCCATGCGGGCTTTCATGTGTCTTGCACTGAGGAGAGGCTTCCGTCGGGCCACTCTGCCATAAAGCCCCGACTGGTGGATTGCTGCAGTGATGGTTGACTTACTACAACTTTCTCCCATCTCCCGACTGCATCTGTGGAGCTCAGCCACAGTGACCTTTGGGTTCTTCTTTACCTCTCTCACCAAGGCTCTTCTCCCCTGATAGCTCAGTTTGGCCGGACGGCCAGCTCTAGGAAGGGTTCTGGTCGTCCCAAACGTCTTCCATTTGAGGATTATGGAGGCCACTGTGCTCTTAGGAACCTTAAGTGCAGCAGAAATTTTTTTGTAACCTTGGCCAGATCTGTGCCTTGCCACAATTCTGTCTCTGAGCTCTTCAGGCAGTTCCTTTGACCTCATGATTCTCATTTGCTCTGACATGCACTGTGAGCTGTAAGGTCTTATATAGACAGGTGTGTGGCTTTCCTAAACAAGTCCAATCAGTATAATCAAACACAGCTGGACTCAAATGAAGGTGTAGAACCATCTCAAGGATGATCAGAAGAAATAGACAGCACCTGAGTTAAATATGAGTGTCACGGCAAAGGGTCTGAATACTTATGACCATGTGATATTTCAGTTCTTCTTTTTTAATAAATTTGCAAAAATGTCTACATTTCTGTTTTTTTCTGTCAAGATGGGGTGCTGAGTGTACATTACTGAGAAATAAAATGAACTTTTTTGATTTTTGGAAAATGGCTGCAATGAAACAAAGAGTGAAAAATTTAAAGGGGTCTGAATACTTTCCGTACCCACTGTACCTACCTACATCATCACTGGTGGTAAAAGAAGAGAGGGTGCTTTGATTTTCCATTCTGTCTTCACTCTTTAGCTTCTGTCTGAAAGGAGAGGGTGTGGACGGCAGCTGCCCCGCAGTAATCGACTACACGCCTTACCTGAAGTTCCCTCAGAGGTATATAAGGTCAAACATCACCCATCACACAGTTCACCAGTGTGACGGGCAGGTGGGAAAGACATGCCTAAATATGCTTTGTTTGTTTATTTTTTTGTATTAATTTAAGAATAACATTTATTTATTTTAACAAACTGTTTTAGTACCATTTCTGAGGGCAGATGTCATAATTCTTGTTGGTAAGGTTGTTAAGGTTTGTTAGTTGTAAGTGGGGACATGAGCAGTTTATGTAAATCCTCATTTGGCAAAAAACTACCTGTAAACATGAACATATTGTTGTGTGTTGTACTAGAAAGATACTGGAGATCAAGTTTATTTTAAGTTTTACACAATGAATTACATTGACACAGATTTGGCCAAATTACATTATTTATCTGTGTTATTTATCTAGTTAGCTTATTAGACTTTATTTCAGCACCATGCACTGGTCAAATAGCCTGTATCTCCTCATGTGGGGACACTATTAGTATTAGTGTACTAATATGGGGCTCACCCTGGTTCCCTGTGCAGTGCGGACAGCATCAGCAGTGACGAGGAGGAGATGAGAACTCTAGGGAGCAGCGGTAGTGAAAGCAGCACCCCCGACAAAATGGCCACTGCCGCCTCCATCTTCACCGAGCAGAGCAACTTGGTCAGCAAGTGCAAACGATTTGAGCAGAAGTATCGCATGGCACTGGAGCAGAAGGTAGCACCTGTGTGTGTGTGTGTGTTGAGTGTGTGGATAAATAAATTGGATGGTAATATATGCCAATGTGACATTCTCCTTGATATTTTCATGGCAATTAGAGGCACGAATTGTGAAAGGAAGAAATGCCTTCTGTGAAGAAAGATTTTTGACACACACACAGATTCTTATTTCTTGCATATACAACATCCGTAGTGTTTCTTCCCTCTGTGGCTTCAGTTGTAGTTGATGATGAGGTTTCCAGTCTCTGCTCTCTGGTCATTCCATTTGCTTTGAGCCAGAACAAATAATTCAGATACTCAGACAGCAGTTTCTCCATGGCAGTAAACAAACAATTGAAAAACTCTGTGTGTGTGTACGCTTGTGCGTGTGTGTTTGTCTCAGGGTTACCTGGAAGAGCTGGTCCGTCTCCGAGAAGCCCAGCTGTCAGAAGCTGTGTCTCACAACAAAGCTCTTCAGCAGAGCCTAGCAGACATGCATGTCTCCCACACACTGGAGAAAGAACAGCTCGAGTACATCGTACTGGAACTACAGGACCAACTGTAAGTTCAGGACCCACTTTGTGTGTGTGTCTGTTTGCAAGTGCATGTGAGGTTGCCTGACGATAAGGTGGAGAGGACTTTGCAGTAGTTCCAGCTGTGAATTTGACATTCAGGACTCAGCAAGAAGCCTTGCAGGCAGTTTTGTTATTCGTGTGTTGAATCCATCACAGTCATTGCTGCTTTTAGCAAAGAAACCATTTCCATTAATGTCGTAATCGGTGAAAAAACCCTTTCTCTGTTTGATCACTAATTCAGTGTAGGCTGCAAAGTCTGTCAAGTGGTTTTGTGTCACAGTCTCTGGTAATTAAGCTGTGGTCTCAAGCCGGTGTGATGAGTCAGTAGATGTTTTTAAATGCAAATGGAGCCTTTATGTCACTTTGCTTTTGACTCTGAGACAAGACAGAGACTGAGAAAGATGCTGTGACTATAGTCAGAGATTAAAATATGCAGGTAAAAGTGGGATTTGAGATGAATGCAGAAAAATACACAAAATCAAAGTGAATCAAAAGTGGTTTGTGATTTTGTAAGGGAGGACTTAGAGTGTGCAGGCTGAGTAGAGATAGGTCGTGGATCATTTGTTGAGCAGGACCAATACTTTAAAAAATTTGATATATATTCTTTTTAAATTACCATGGATCTCTTTAGTTTGGTTTAAATAACTGTTAAATACTGAATAAATAACTGACCAAGATAAAATAAATGTGTCAATGCTCTTATATAGACAAACTACTGTATGTGGAGTTGACATAGCCAATAATATAATATCTTTTTTTTTCCTTTATATGATTGTGTGTAGCTTTTGGTTTTACAAACAGGAAAAAAAGGTTTGGAGTAGCTGCTAGTTGATGCCTTTTTATGTCAATAATTTGTCTCCAGCTCTGGACACTGTCTTTTGTCTTTAGGACAGTGATGAAGAACAACGATTTGCGGTCCAGACAAGAGTTGACAGCCCATCTGACCAATCAGTGGCCATCTCCTGTCGCCCTGGATGCCAACGCCGTTGCCTTGGACACGCTGCTGTACAGGAAGAACAGGGGACAGTGGGAGGAGTATGCAGATCAGTTGACAGCTTCCAGGTTTACTTTGGTTGTGCCTAGGGCTGCAACTAATTAATAACTAATTGATTGATTTCTTTTTTTTAATTAGATGACGTAACTGGTGACATACACAACAGACACAACAGTACTTGGGGAAAATATACAAAAACAGAAACGAGAAACAACTGTGCACAGACAGACAATAGCATGCTGGATGTTTAAGGCAATTTGTGTATGGGTGTGTGTATGTTCAAGTGGTAGAAAAATGGAGGTGGTGTCGGGGAAACTGAGTTGGGAAGTATAAAGATTAAATGCTTTGAACTTAAGTAACAAATAATAAAATAAATAAAAAAAGGAGGGGGGGACTAGAAAAAGAAATTCAAAAACAACAACAAGAAAAAACAAAAAAACAAACAAAAAACCTGAACGAGGGAAATATATATATATATATTATATATATTTTTTTATTGTTTATCGCGATGAATATCAATATCAAATGGTATGAATTTTTTTATTGTGATAACATTTTTGCCCATATTGCCCAGCCCTATCTGGGACCAGAAAATGTTTGACATTTTTGTTTGCTAAATTACTGAAACAAATTTATCAGGTCAAAAAATGGTTGCTGATTCATTTTCTGTTGATTGATGACTTATTGTTTCAGCACTAGTTTTGTGTGTTATCTTGACTGACCCTCTATCCTCTCTTTGCAGGAAGAGTTTCCAGAGTCTGGAGCAGCTGTCCGCAGACATGAGCCTTTCTCAGACATCTCTCGAGCCATCACACACACACAGTCTGGAGGCCAGGTCGGCCAGCACACACTGGCCCCACCAAGGTACGTCCCCTTCTGCATGTGAGCACTATTGTGCATAAAGGCCTACACTCTGATGTGGGCTTTAATCATGTTTACCACATCTTTCAGGTAAAGAGGAAACTCCATCCCTCAGAGGTCTGTGTGGCTCCCTGACCTCAGTTGCCAGCTACAAGTCTCTGGCCAGCCTGAAGTCCAGCGAGTGTTTGGCCAGTCCTGCAACAGAGATCAGCAGCCCAGGCGTCACACCTTCATAGGGAATGGAGAGCTAAACGGATCCCCACCAGGGCCAGACAATCCAGGAAGTTTCTAAATGTAGGTGATTGATATGCTTGTTTGTAGAAGTTTATGTTCTGTATGTGGAGCCCAGAGCTGTAACAGATTGATGCCAGGTTTGCAAGTTGTGAATAGGGTTAAAACTCAAGACCAGCTCCATCAGACTGAAAGTCTCATTAATCTACCATTCAGCTGAAACAACCTCTGACTCTTTAAAAGAGCAACTGCAGCTGTAACTTCAATAAATTTGTTTGTTTTGTTTGTGTTTTTTAACCTGTGGAGCATTGGTTTTCTTTTCCCTTCTTGGAAATACATTTAAAAAATAGAAAGTTAATGTAAGAATTACCAAGTCACTTTACAGTATTGAGAAGACAGTGATGAGCAAGTGTTTTCACCCCTCTGGAAAGGGGGTGGTTTCCCAGGAGATTATCGCATGCTGAAAATACTGACAATAGATCAGAGAAAACATAAAACAGCCTTGGTCAGTGATTAGTCTCGTCACTACAAATCATTTCCTTTTATTATCTTCTGTGCTGCTGCCATTATTTCTTAAATTTTTTTAACTCTAGCAGTTTCTTTGATTTATGATGGTAATGGTTCATAAGTTATGTCATCAAAGTTGCATATAATGTAGTCAATGTTCTTGCGCTTTTGTCAGTCTCTTTATTTATTTCATCAGTTTTATGTTGTCAGTGTTGTATCCCATGGTTTCATTCTCAGGTAATAATCACTGATTTGATATTCAGCCTTCAGTTCTGGGTTTACTTTACAGTTCAGCTGTATCAGACACAGACTATTGTTCCCTTTAAATATTAAAATGCAGTATTTTAATTGCTAGTTACCACTAATAGATCATTCCTTAAACTCTGAATAACAATCTGTGTTATGACTCTTGCAGCAGATATTGAGAATGAGAAACAAATTTATTTGGAGAGTATTAGTATATTGTAGTTTGTATTATTGGTGACTAGCCGTGTACCTCGACACTGAACTCATGACTTTGCCTTTAGCTTGTTTCAGCAATCATTTGCACAGCCGTACAGCAGATGTTTTATTGGATTTGTTTGCCTTTTTATCATTTTGAATAAACTCCACTTATTAAAACAGTGAAAATTTGATAGTGACATTAGTTTCTTGTTGGCAACAGGTGTGTTGACAAAGCTTGAATAAAGTCAACAAAGTCAATCAGGTACTTCACATTTTCATTTACGTGTGTCACAGTCCTCTTCCACAGTCTCTTGTCAAATTGAAAAAAAACACTCATAGCTTTACACTCACACTGTACTGGCATGATATAAGCTTTTTGTGCGTTTGTCTGTCACACACATTTACACGTTACAGGGGATTGGAGTGGAAGTGCAAAAACACGGAGATCCTCTTTTGGTGTCCGGGAAGGAAACCCGGGGTGACACACAGAGGAATAAAATAGAAATTAATCATACAACTCTAATGTAAGGACTTCAGGCACAATGCACATGATCCCAGGGAGAGCGCCACATGTGGAACCTGGAAAATTACATATTAACAAAAATGTGACTGCCATCTGCTGGCTGATAAATACATCAAAGAACACAGCTCAGTTGTACACACATTATCTATAGCAGGAAACATAAAACCATATAATATTCTAATAAAAAGCTTTTGATATACATTTTGATCTTCTATAATGTCTTGTAATGCAGAAATGGGTCAAGCAGTTCATTTTTTAAATTCCATTTCTGCTTGTGTTATTAATTTGGCAACATAAGCCTTTTCCTTCAAGGTGTGGTTGTAGAGGTGTTTGGAGAGAAATGACTAAAAACTGGAAAAGAAAATCAAGAGTTGCTGGTTTGCAGAGACCCTAGTATCCTCTCCTGGTTATGTTTGCGGAAAAAGGCCTTCCCAAACTCATAAGTGCTGATCATGATGGCACAGGCTGGGGCCACTTTGATCAGCCTGGGGAGGAAACCTGGCAGAGATAAGAACAGATAAGAGGCTTGATTACATGCTGTTCTGTTAGATATGACTGGGTCACATAAGTATCTACCTGCAAGAAGTCCACTAAAGCCGTCCTGTGCCACGATCCTGCTCATCACTCTGAAGGTGGAGGAGGAGACCTGACACGACACTGAGAAGACAACAGTAATGTTATGCTGAACATAACTCATGGACTCTTAAGAACTGACCACAACAGCTGTAGTTTCAGTAATCTGATGTACCACCACAGGCCTGTCAGATGAGTTCAAGTACCGCTTCAAGCAGCACAACCCGCCATGTTCTTTTGAACTGGCTTTAAACTATTTAACACCTGAACATAGAGTTTTCCTTTTTGTTTCCCCTCAAGTAGGTGTAATGTTGGAAAAATCATATTCCACACTGTCTGACAGTATCACATATATTGTATCAGCTTCTTCAAGTGAAATATTTAGCCCAAGACTCAAAATGAATCTTGAAATATTTGGTATCTTTGGAGACTTTAGTAGACAATAAAAGGGATCCCAGATAGTTGTCTTGGATTGAAGTTTGACTGCGCTGCACCAGACCAACTGGCATGTGCTGCTTGTTAAGGGGTTTTAACACGTTTATATAAAAGTTGATACAAGACATAATGATCAATGACTGGATGTTGCAACCATTTATCCATCACTTTAAGCTATTAAGTTCAACATCTCTGCTCCCTAGTTTGCTTTCAATCACAGTACATAATATTTCATCTGACTGAGGGTTGGTTGAAAGTCTAAAGTGCAGTCATCTTGTCATAGCTGGTAGCTTATTTTCTTGCCACCAAATTTTAATCCTACTTATTTTCCTCCTAATCCTAACCATGTGGATACATTTATTTTTAACCAAATCAATTTATTCAAATTAGCTGGGCTACAACACCATGCAGAAGTATCTCCTAGGGTTAAGGTACTCCTGGTTGGGAATCCACTGATGTACAAGATTTGTAACCTTATGACGAAATTTGCTAATTAAAATGAGAATAAAGAGTTATTGCCATAATTACAATTCTTTGCTTGTAGCTCTCCCAGCTCAACCTGCCTTCTCGTCTTGACGACGTCAAAAGGTAACGTTACAATGGATGCAATCTGAAAGAAATGGAATCATGTATTAATTACCAGATTAATTATTAGTTTACAATTTACTTATGAATTGTGATTTATTTTTGTCAAGATAATCAACATCCTCATCTACATGTTGAAAAGCTACATGTTGCGCCGATGCACTTACAGAGCCAGACACCGCTCCGGATATGAAGGTTATAGTAAACGTGGGTTCTCTGGTGTTGTACCATTCACACAGCCAACTCTTGCCCTTCTCATAGTTGTACCAGTATATGGCAGAGAAGGGCACGTCTCGGAGGAGTGTGGGCCCCAAACCCCGCCACAGAGACAGCCAGCCTTCTCTCTGCACTGCCGAGCGGATGCAATCAGTCAGCTCCCTGTACGACTGTTTCTGAGACTGCAGCTTCGTGCGAATCAGCTCCAGAGGGCTGATCACCGTCGCTGAACCCACTGACACACACAGAATGGAGAGAGAACAGAGGGGTGAAAAAGCTCAAAACACATCTTCACTTGCTGCTGGACAGAAGTGTGTAAAAATCAAACTGTTGCAGAGAAAACTTATCAAAACACACCAGACAACAACGACTGAGTTAAAAAGCTTAATTTTCACTGAAAACCATTTTTCAGTTTGGAGGAGCATTTTAATGAGGGTAGTGCATCACTTTATAAATGATCATAAAGCAGCTTTTCAATATGAAATGTAGTGTAGGATGAAATTACAGATACTCCGGGCTATAGGTCAAAAGGTGTGGATAGTTGCCCTTGAGAATTAATCTGGAAATGAAACCATCAGCATTATTGAAATACTGCAATACGTTCAGCTGAACTCATACTTTTATTGATTGATGCCATTTCTGTTAAACAGACATCTTCTATTCTGTGAACAACAACTGAATGCAGGCGATCAACAGTAATTGATTTTAAAGCTCTTAACACTATGCCGTGTGAGAGCTGGAATCTGTCCGGCTCTCTTCAGTGATGCAACAGCGGTCAGCTCACCTCTAGCGATAGCTCCTGCCAGAAGAGGGGCCTCCTGAGCGTGGTCTCCCATCCTGACCCTCAGCACTGCACACAGCTGGTCATAGCACGTGAAGTAGATCACTGTAGCTGGGACTGCCATCACACTTTGAAACACACATGGAAAATATCCATAAATTATGCCTCCATCAAAATTATTCCAGGCAGGGAAACCACAGAAACAACACCAACAAATTAATTAAAGTGTTTTATTAAAGAAATTTCCATTTCCAACACTTAACATAAATAAATCTTTGGTAATCAAAAATAAACTCAAGTGGTTTGCCACTAATTGGTCCAACTTCAAAGGGAAGCACCCTTAATGAGTGCATTAGCTACAGGCTAAACGGCTGTCGATCCACCACATTTGCTCAGTAACTCTGCTTTAAGAGGAGAAAAGGCAGAATGAAGTGCAACGAGGGAATAAAGGGACACAGAAGACTTCACACTCACAGCGTTGGAGGTAGGCCGCTCCATAATGCCTTTAATCCTTCATGGCGTACGATCTTGACGAAGGCATCCTGCAGAGATGCAAAGTGTAGAGTAAGTGTAGAAAGATCTGCTGTTTGGCAGTCAGGGGTTTTCTGTGAAGCTCAACTTTACACAATGTGTAAATGATGACATGCAATGGGCATGGGAGATTTTTACCAGTGTGCCATTAAAGTGACCGCTGGCTTTGTACCAGGCCTTGGAGCTGCCGTTTTCACAAACACATATGTGGTCCATAAGTCCATTGCAGTAGACAAAGCATTTCCCTGAAAGATATTGAAAAAATTGATGTGGTCATCTAACATTTACTGCATCAATATACGTAATACTAGACCAACGCACTTCATATTAATTTTACCTTTGGGGAAGGGATTTTTCTGTGCTTGCAATCTGATCTTCACAACATCCAAAGGTGTAACTGAAAAAAGCAAACAATTAACATGAGCCTCTTATGTATGACAATTGGTACACTGTACAAATGTTGCCAAATGGGATGTTCCCCTATGCAAAATATAGATCTACTGTACTTATATTATACACCAATGATTGAACATTTATTTGGCCTGTTCGTATGCAAAGGTCCAGGTGAGGTGCGACATGAGTGTTTTTGCCTGAAATGTTGTATATATTTCACATTGCTATAAACCAATTGCAGAAGCTAAACAGATTTTCTGTGGTGTTTTTCTACATTCCAGGCAAACATGAATTTACCTTCATTCCAGCACATTATGAAAATGTTGTAAATGTAAATTTGAAACTTGATCCAGATTAACAGTGAATGTCACAGTGAACATAAAGTCACTTTTTGTTTTGTTAAAGTTCAATACAGAAACTATTTTTCAATCAAATATATATCAAAATATCACATTCACGTAATAGTTTTCAACATGCTTATTGTTTGTTTTCTTGGTTAACAAAGCTCATAATAACTACAGCATTCTATTTGCCAGTTACCCTTAAACCAGTAAAGATTTTTATTGTTTAGGCCATCAGCTTCATTCATCCACAAAAAAAAGAAACAGGATGTTCACTGTGGATTTCCCATAGTACACTCATTTGATAGTTTATTAGGTACATCTTGCTATAACCAATGCAGTCTCAGATAACAGCTGTGCAAAAAAGCCTACCTTCATGAAGGTTATAATGTACAGTTTTTATTGACACTGTTTTAGAGAGGTGTTGATATAGATTCATTTTTGAGGCTGTAGTTTGGGCTGCTGTTGAATTATATAGCACAACAAAGTGTTTGCTTACAGATATTTCATTAGTATAATAAATTAGAATTTACAGACTCAAAATTTCCATTAACTTGAGTCAACACTTTAAAATGATAGCATTGTATTAGACTGCATTAATTTGAGCTAGGTGTATCTAATAAAGTGCCAACTGAGATGTAGGTGTCAAGCTCTTTTAAATTTGTCTTTCATGATGTACTGAATTGAGTAGAAACTTGTCTGGAAAACAAACAACGTGTTGTGCGAAATGATCAGCAGTAATGCTGCATTTAATGAACTAAAACAAGTAAAACACCAGTCTTTAAATACTAGACATGACAGGTGATTGGTCTGGTTATCTCACCAAACAAAGATGTGAGGATGGCTCCGGAGCAGGACGCCACCATCTGTTGGAGTGGAGTAATGCCATAACCGGCTGAAGAAGCAGGACTTTCACCACTCATACTTCCTTCTAAAAACAAAGATACAGTTCGACATTAGACCTGTTTTAATCTATATGTTAGTTGTCGTGTATACAAGAACTTGCTTTACTAAATGAGCTAATTCGCGACCACAGACACGTTGGCTTGGTTATTATAAGAATATAATTCCAGGTGCTGCAACATTACATGATGAAGAAGCCCTTAGGCTAACCGGCGTTAGCAAATTACTTTAGCTAACGTTAACTTCCTACCTGCTAAATTACCTCAACGAAGTCTTCCATGAACACACGTGCCTCTCAGGTTTTTTAGTTCCCGACAGTATGAGAGTTATCACTGTCCTACAGCCTCTAATCCTTGCTTACTCACGTGTGCATGTTCAAGGGTTGTTGTAACCCTAGCTAGCTTGTCAGTTTACACAGCAAACATTACATGATCACAATGTTACCTAATGTTAATTTCAGCAGAGCACATTCGATGATTTTTTTTCCAGAATGTTAAATGCAATAAATATGTACAACACATAATTACGCATATCGTATTTAAAATGTTTTTTGTAAATCAAACAATTTGTCGACGTCAATTTTAATATATCTATTTATTTTATTAGTGACGTGGAAACATCTCATGCAAACACAAACGAAGCATTTACTTGTTTCTGATGTTGCCAGGTTTGAAAAGTTGCCGTAACACTTTGGTTAAACCCCCACAGTTTCCGGAAGGTATGGAAAGGACAAGAGAAAACGTCAATCGCATTGTCAAACATGGCAACATAAACGTCGTCCACCATTGGATTTAAAGCGGGAAAGGGACGTTTAGCGAAGTTGTGACCTAAACAAAGTTTACTACAGCTGTCTAAACATTAGTAAAACGGCTTGCCAATGGATAGTCTGCGTTAACAACCGTGCTAACACATCTCTTGTTTCGTTTAGTAACGTTAGGTGAGGGAATAATGTAACGTAAGTTGAGAAAAGCAGCTAACCCACAAACTGTCCTGTGAGCGAAACGAGACACTGCGTTAACGTTAACTAACGTAAGAATGCATTTAAAAATTAGTTATATTTATATAACGGGGGAGGAGTACAGCATCCTGTCTTAAGTAACGTTACAGTGCTTATAACTATTCAGACCCCTTATTTGGTTTAAGTTAATTTCCATCTTCTTTGAAAATAGTCCTGTCTTTGTTTACACACAGGAGACAGACAAGTTACGGACTTCCTCCGGCATGTTGACTCAAGACAGGACGGCAAGAAAAACGTTATTTTGTCAATGAAAGATAATATCATGAAGCCAAAGCGCATCCAGAGGCATACAGGATCCAACTGGCAAGGTAATCTAATTGTTACTACTGTATTTAAAGGTCATTAACGTACCATCGCTGACTAATCACTGCAGAATAACCTGACTCTAACTTACTTGTATGCTGTACTATTTTTTTTTTTTATTCAGATTTTGTAACAAACTATTTATATTGCATATATTGTATAAACTGTATTTGTCAGTTTATATAATCACGTACCTCATGTACGCACAAACATATTTATTCCAGTATCCTTTGCACTCTGCTCCATTACACTTATTGTCTTGCTGTCTACAAATGTTGGGTTTTTTTGTTTATTGTGTGTATGTGTATACTATAAGCTGTAGTCTATTTTTTGTTGAGCCTTTTTTTTGTTTATATGTGCTCTGTGTATGTACATCGACAGCAATATAAGACCAGAGTCAAATTCCTCATATGTCCACACATACCTGGCCATTAAAGCTGATTTTGATTCTGATATAATGATTTTAAGTAAAGTTTATACTAACCTTCACAGAAGCTAAAAAAACAAGCAAAAAGTCACTTTTATTCAAGCTATTTGAGTCGTATTTTCACTTAAAGACTGTCTTTAATTGAAGTTACGACCACTCAGGTCAACCTTAACAGTTATTTTATAATATAGCCACAAATTTGTCTCAGAAGTCTTTAGAATCTGTACAACAAAGACAACCCTATGTCCTCAAGCCCTTGATTCGGATAGGAAAAAACTTGACACAAAGACCCTTTAAAAGGGGAGAAAAACTTAAGGAAAAGTGACTTCTAGAATGGACAGACATCCAATAGCCCTCATTACACAATTGATAGAGTAACAATACTGAGAAAAAGTGTGACAGAATTGTTACATAACATGTAAGTGTTAGGTGTAATCACTTAAAATGATTAAAAACAAGTTGCTCTTTGTATTTCTGAAACTGTAACCATTACAAGTTTGACAGGATAAATGACTGATCAATCAGTTTGTCATATGAATGATTACATTGGTGGTTGATCACAAGCACCTCAGCTAAGACACCACTGGATCTCTCATCATGTGACTTTCCTGATTGCCCTTTTAGGGAAAAGTGTCAGTGGTGGTGACAAGGCAGCACTGAGCCAAGCTAAGCCGATATCGCGTGTGTCCTCTCCTGCTAAAATCAAACCTTTTGCCGGGAAAGTGTTTTACCTTGATCTGCCATCAAACAAGAGAGCGGATACATTGGAGAGTGACATCAAAGAACTGGGAGGGGTAAGGCAAAAACACATTTCTCCATGTTGTTATTTTTGGCTGTCAGAAAGGTTAAAATATTAAGTACTCAGATTTCAGTTAGTTACCCGATACTGTAGAACTCTGTCACTGAATACTGCAGTTGTTTTTCTGGAAGAGATTGGTATTAAGGTCTTTATCTTTCCCCCAAACCTTTTTTTTTTTTTCTCGTGTTTGTCACTCAGACTGTTGAGAAGTTCTTCAGTAAGGAAATTAAGTATCTGATATCCAACAAGAGGGAGGCTAGATATGTGCAGTGCTTCCGGCAGGACTCTCCTGTCCCCAGCCCGGACTCTGGACAGAGTTCACCTCACCCATGCTCAAAGCCGCACCGGCCTGGCAGCCATGGGGACAACGTCAAAAGCAGGTCTCCGGGCCAAACGGATGCAGTGAGTTCACTGTCACTGAATCATCCACCATAGTGTAGATATGATGTTTTTATGTCTATTTCACTTCTCACCAGTTCTGTTCCTTTCTAGATAATTTTTACTAGTTATTAATGTCATCTAGTTTTTCTAATTTTCTGTTATTTTATTGCAGTTTGTGACAAGTCGAGGGAAGTCTTTGGTGGAGAGAGTGGTGAAAGAGCAGGTTTGTTAAGCCAACACTAAGTTTAAATAGGAACTGTATTTACCTATTTTGTTTTCTGTGCTAGTAAAAACTTGTTTGTTTTTAGGAGAGGGTACAAATGAACAAGATCCTGTCAAATGCTCTGGAGTGGGGTGTGAAAATCTTCTACATAGATGGTATGTTGTAGAGGTTATATCTGTTTGTGTTACATCAACTGTTATGTACATTATTGGCATGTGTAATTTAAATAATGACTTTTTTAATTTCTTTTATGGCACTTGCAGATATAATATCATATGTTCAGAAGAAAAAAAAGATAATCAGCAGCCAGTGTCCCGCTGCCAAAACAAGTGTAAGTTTTCAAATTCTTAAATTAATCCTTTGTAAAAAACTGCAATCATATTTTGGTATTAATTTCTTGAAAATTATTGGTTTAACTTTGGTACCTTTTGTTTTAAAGTGCTTTTTTTTTTGTCATTCTCTATAGGTCAAAGCTGAGTCGGCATCCAAGCAAGGCATTCAGAAATGCAAAGGTAAATGTCTGATCAAGGACTTAACAGGTTTTCTGAGCCTGTGTTGTTGTTACTAGTTATTAAAATAATTTAAACTGACTGTCAATGGTGTTTGTTTCAGGGGGGCGGCTCAGTAAACCATTCATCAAGGTTGAGGATTCAAGTAGGTAAGAGACAGTAGGTTAAAAGAAGCTGACATCCACCCACTGTCCTTGAGTTGTTTACATCTATTGACGTCAATGTGTTTCTTTTCTCTTCCTCAGACACTACCGTCCAATCTCCCTGACTATGCCGAACATGCCTGAATTCAATCTGAAGACTGTTCCTCCCTGCAGTCCCTTCTGTGTCGAGGAGAAGGATCCTCCTGGGAATAAACAGCGGGGGAACAGGTATGGTGTTCCCACTCTGCTTTGCTTTTAACTAACCTAGCATGTGTGCAGCACAGTATGTCACGCTTTGTCAAGGACGCTTTTTAAAAAAACTTTTTTATCATACATATTTTAACCACTGGAATCACAATTTGTGCACCTAGCTCCTTTTATATTTTTAGTGATCTGTCTTTATAGATGGTTTTTAATTTGTTTTTATTTTATACGATCTGGTGACGCCAAAGACAGACTCTCAACATTGTGGAAAATAGAGTAACTGAACATGTTTATATTTTTCCACTTTTTTTAAAAAGTGCACTGTTTGCTTACATACATTTTTAATTGTAATTCAGGCTGAGAAATTCGGTATTTGAAACTTTGTGAACTTGAGTAGAATTTAAAGTTCTGTGGGTTTGAAAAGTGCTTTTCTGCACATTCATCACAGTGACTGGGCACTTCTGGAGCCAGACCACAAGAATGATTAAACAAAATGCAAAAATCCAAAATGTTCTCATCTAAGTTTGGTTTTGTTTGTGCACCCTCTGTGGGCTGCTCTGGGAACAGAGGTCCGAAAGCCTCAGCCAGTGAAGAGAGAGCACACGGCCGAAAGAAGAACCGAGACAAGAAACGAGGTGGATACTGCGAGTGCTGTATGATCAAATATGAGAATATCAAAACGGTAAGTTATAACATTTCTAAAAGCTAAAGCTGTCAATACGATATAGTTATAGTAATTATATTGGTAATACCACATAAGCCAAAACACACAACACAGCGTAAATATGTTTTTGATCCTTTGTTGTGTTTTATTTTGAAAGACTATATTAAGAAGTCATATCTTATTTATTTAAATTAACAACAATTTTCATTTGGGTCACAGTGTAATTAAATGTACTGGAGTTAACAAAGACTTGTAGCTTACATTAAAGCAATGATCATTGAACAATAGGTGGGTTTTTTTTAACCTAATTTATATGCACAACTCTAATCAAATTTTCGAAGTATAGATGTGTTTAGACATTATTTTGCCATTATTTTTGGAATGTGTAATAAGAAAGGACAAACTCAGCAGTAGCTAAACTTGTGAACAGTATGAAGGTCTAGCTTTTAATGCTAGTTCATCAGTAATTCACCTGGATCAGAGTGCAAATTAAAAAAATTCCAGTAGTCTTGTATTGCAAGGCTTTCTGGGTATGGAGACCAATGACCTACATACCCAGAAAACCTTGCACTCTGAAAAAGTTCTTTGAAAGGAGTTTGATTGAATCAGAGCTCTTCTTTTGTTGTCCCCTTGATGATTGCCACTGATTTAAAACTGAATTTTGAGGAAACTGAATTGGGAACACTGCTGAAATAATACTCACAAATTAAAAACAATGAGTTAAATATAATTTCAATCTGTTAAATACAGTTTCAAACAATAATCAATTTGAACATTTCAATTTGAAAACTGATCAATTCAGATTCAGTTTGTGCTTGCACTAATTTCAAAGAATTGTATGCTCAGTAGCTTCCGCTGGACAGCTATAATTATAATTTTTTTTAACTGGGTGATTTAAAAAAAAAAATATAAAAAAAAAATTGTTCAGCACCTACAGAGTGAACGGCACAAGGCTTTCTCCAAGAGCAACAAATATTTGGTTGTGGACAAACTGGTTTCAACCCTGCACTGCAACTTCATCCACATCAGAACTCAAGTTAAAAGGTAATTTCTCCCCGAACCTTTTAAACTTCCATCAACATATGTTCTCAAGAAAATAAATTTAACATTAAACTTTTATCTTTCTATTCCACTCTACTTTTATATTTTCTTTGATTCCTATCAGACCAAAGTGCAGTGTTTCCTCCATTCTGACTGCACCTGGACCATGTGGGAATACTGAGCTACGGCACAAGGGAGATCTCGATATCACAAAGATTATTAAAGAAGAGCAGCACCTGTCTGTTGATGGGCATGAGGAATCTCATTCAGGACACACTTTAAAAACCGGATCACTTCCTGCTTCTGTTCCTCTGATTCACAGAGAGGGTGGCAGGAGGAGCTATTACACTCACTCAGACAGATCCAAGCACAAATCTCTTGCAGGTAAACGACCTTGCAGACAGAATTCATTGACTTCTCGTGCTGAAAAGGCTGGGCAGGCTCAAATACCTCAGCCCAAGAAGGAAACGGCTCCCTCTACAGGTGAATGTCTTGCCTCTGTTCCCTCTAGAGTTGCTCAGGTTGACCTGGTGGACCAAATAATAGCTCAAGACAAGAACAGCACAACCTCTCACCTCCATAATATGAATGTTTCTTCAAAAAGCCTTGATGTTTTAACAAATCAACAAGAGACGTCTGATAAGCAGGATTCCTCTGTTCAGGATGGAAACATATTGCCCGACAAAATTACCGTAAACAATCTCTCAGAAAAGGAAGAAGAAATCCTTCCTACAGTCAGCTTTTCTCCAGTCCGGAGAATAGAGAGGAAGATCCGAGTTTATAAACGCAAAAGACGGAAAGTGGACGAACATGTAAAACTAAGTGGCATTCCTGACAACTCCACACTTAAACTTTGGGAGCTTTTTCAGTCAAGTGATGACATGGACGTGGAATTTCTGGGGTTTGAGGACTAGGAAGGGAATACATGACTTGAAGGGATAAACTGGACTAGTATTGCCTTTTCCAATACTATAATCAACACATTCTGTGCCATGGACAATGCACACCACTAGAGTTTTCTTCAGAAACATCAGTTTAAAGACTGCTGAATGATCTACAGTGGCTTGTTTTGTTTCAGGGGTGAAGAAATGCTTAATTCTTCCCTGTTATTTTGTTTTATTTCAGATGAAAGGCAGCAGCATTGTATAAGAAAAAAGAGCTAAAGCTTTATGTGGCTTTAAAAATGATGTTTTTGCACATTTGCTTGTGCTGCAAAAAAATAGTAGAAAATATGTTAATTTAGATTCTAAAGTCAACACAAAGAAGTGTCAAAGTGGAATTGAAGAAATTTATTCAAAACCATAATTCTCGCCTGGTGTCTTGAGATTGAGTTGCAGCCCTTTTTAGTACAATCCACATGTCTGAAGGTTTAAATATATTGTAAAATTTGTCTAGTCTATATCTATATCTCCCTTTGTGATGGGTATAAATTTAATAAGGGAAATCAATAATAGCTAATTGCTTTTACTGCTACTTTGCATACCAGTTTTATGAGACATTTCTTCAAGACGCCATGAACTGGAATAAAGTGTCTCAGCAGAAGTCACATCACAAAGTGTTAAAGGGACCTTATTTAAGACATAACTGTAATTTGTGTGGATCTTAAAACAGACATTACAAAACAGATGTATTTAAAAATAATTTTACCAGTTTGATACCTTTTATTACCACTTGAAAATCTATGAAATATTACTGTGTGAATGAACGTTTACAGAAGTGTTTTTATTTACAGTCTCCAAATGCAGACTTTTCCACTGAATACTGACTGTTTACTTAAAGGGAAAAGGGCAGCTTTAGTCAAAATTTTGGAGAAAGATGACTGGAAACTTCCCAGACACTGGGAACTGATTTTATATGTGTATAAAATACATGTAGTTGTTGCAGTTTAATGTGAATGACCTGCAGGTTGGAATTGTGGTACTTGACATTATACATGACATTTTTGGATTCTTCCTAAGTGCACTTTTAATGTCCTGCCTTCATGTGCATTTTCTCCTCTCTGATGCATTAGCTCAGCTTCTCCCTTTTCCCTGCGTTTAGTGCATCAGCATAGTGCCCTTGTTCCTCCTCGCTGCTCAAATGGATGCACTGGGTCAAATAGGAGCCTCTGTGCCACAGGTATTAAGAAAAACACGTGAGCAACAATGTGTTCCAAGGTACAGCAGTACTACAAATATAAAAGGCAAAGGCAACACTGACATTGTCAGTTTTGATCCTCATACACATTATAGCTTGCTGCCACTGTGTTTCTATGATCATAGTGCACAAACTGTACCTACCTCAAACATATGAGTAGTGTTATTATTAAACCAGGTTTCAAATGTACACACTTGCAATACATATGTAGCCTTCAATCCTTACAAGTTGTCAAACTGGTGAGAGAAACCATGCAGGCACAGGGAGAACATTGTGCCAGTGCTGGTTGTGACTCTGCTTTTAGTTATTTAACTACGGAAGGTGTATAAAAACCCATGATCAAAATAGTCATACATTCTGTCATTGTGTTAATATATTTAATGAAAATAAATGATTCCCCTTTTTCCTCGGGAACCCCCTCAAGGACCTCACTTTGAGAACCACCAAATTAAACTTCCACAACTTTTGTTATCTCAAGGTGTTTTAAAGTTTCTTGAATGTAAGCTGGCTCTTTTCAATCCATTATAAACATGAACGGGCTTCAAGATCTTCAGGCTAAATGTAACATTGTGCCAGACTGTGTTGAACACTTGCCTCAGAGCCACATCAGCTCCTTAAGTAAACAATTGCTCTGCTGCTGGTCAGTTCATTAACTCTACGATTTGCTGTGTGGCTCTGGGCAATTCCAGCACCAGGTTAAGCATCTGGTGTGTACATAAACACTGGTATGTAAAGTATTTTGTTGATGCTGCCATGTGTCAACGTTGTAAAGGTTTTGTGGACCTGTCAACACATCAAGACGATCAACATGTCACACATATGAATGAGAACCAACACCACCATCTACGCATGTTATTTGTGTCAAAACTGGAAAATATGACGGAACTATAGGGTATTGTTGCAGCCCCAAAAAGTGAAAACAAGTATAAAACATCCACAAAAACAATACCACCACACACCCATAGAAATGTAGCCTATACCCCTTATCAGAACTTTGCTTTCTTGAGCCCTGGCTGATGACAGAGTGACTCACGATGATAACAGGCAGGACTGGGCAGGAATGGCGCTCCTGCAGCAATTTAACATGGAGGGAAGTGGAGGAGGCGGCGCGTTAATATCATCCAGCCAGCGGAGGGCCGGGTCCGCAGCTTCTTTCCATCCCGTCTCTACTGCTCGCTCATATTTATGCATTAGGCGTTTCTGCAGTGAGCCGCTGGATATTGATGTGTTTTAAGGAGGTGTCCCCAGTCACCTCCCCTCCCTTCTTCTCCCTCTCTCTTTCTCTCCTCCCTGCCTCCTCCGTGCTGCTGGTCCGCGGGGGTCTCGGTGCGCTCAGACGCGCTCGGCGTTCAGACTCGTAAGGACCCCGATGGCCCCCAACCACAGAGACTGCGCTAACCAGACGACCAGCTCCGGCTTCAAGCTCCCCTAGCGAAGGCAGGAACCCGAGAGCCTGCTCCTGGAATACCGCATTGTTTTATAATTTCCATCAAGAGAGAGAGAAAGGTGATGGTGCTGATGATGCGCCCGCGATGGTGGATTTCCCTTTTGTGCGTCTGTGGATTGATGCACGTCGGTCACCAGAGCAGCCCAAATGACCAAAATGGTAACTGATGCTATTTTAGATATAACATGAATTATTATCGCGTAATCAAGACGTTAAATAATCGTTAAAGGGCCTGTGTTTATTTGTTTTTATCATTGCTTCGGCTACCTCATATCTGCATGTAAAATATGCATAGCCTGTAGCTGTTTCGTGTTACCACAGGAAAACAGGACCAATCGACATTTCAGATGTCTGTGTTTGTGATGAATGCGTCTCTGCATCGCTTCCCGCACAAAAGGGACAGGCGGGTAATGAAATCGGTGTTTTCCTTTCTGTGCAGGAGACGCCTTGTCGAGCTTGAAGGCTCTTCGTGATGCAGGCAGGTTTGTCGGGAAGGAGGGCACGGTGCCTCTCCGCCTGCTCTACAGCAGGCACAACCACAGCCAGATCACCGAGGATGAGCTCAGCACCAGGGTTAAAGCCAGCTCCGGCTCCACACAGGTACCGTATACACCATGTTTGTAGTGTTGTCAGGAGGGAGAGCGAGGAGTTTCTACATGTGTGTGCTCTCTGTTTCCTGCGTGTTTGGGTTTTTGCCTTAATTCATCTCCTCCTCTGCCCCTGTCCCTCGGAGGGGAAATTAATAATTAGTTAATTACAAGCAAAACAGAAGAAACATTTAGGCAGGAACTGTCCGCACTAATTAGACTGTCTGCATGTGCTATATGGGTCATCATTGCCTTCGTATGCAAAAAGAAGACCACTCTGCCTTTGAATTGATATAAAATATTCAGCTTTGTAATAGGTCCTCCTCAGTTGTCACGTTCATTCTGTCAGCACTGTACATTTAGGAAATAATCAGCTATAGTCGTCTGTCCAACCAGGATAATTAATAATTTAGTGATATCTTGTGTGTCCGGCTGGGTTGCTGTCCCAGCAGCTGCCTCACCTATACCAGCTCATATCTGATATCCCATGCAGCGTTTTTCCACTTTATTTATTATGAAAATGACCAGAGAGTATAGCTGTTAGAGCTCGATCTGAGTGGATTTGACAGCATTTGACAGATATTGGTATATGTCGAGTAATATGTAAGAAGTTACAGTAGAGAAATGCTAAAGATGTTTGAGGTAATTTAGAAACAGGATCGCTGTTACATAGGTTGACCACCAGAGGGCACTGACAAGTTAATTTTTCAACTTTTAAATGTCCGGCTTTGGTAAAAAGGGTCACAATTTGAGGAATCCTCATTAAAAATGTTTGTTTATGTGTAAAAATCTCTGCTGATATGTTACTATCAGATTCTGTTATCTTCTCTTGGTCAATATCGGTACTGACCTAAAAAAATCCTAATCCTAAAAAATCTATTGTGCTCTACTAGCTGAATATTTACTGTAATAATCTGCAGGAAATGTGCTCTGAAGAGGGATTGAGTGGCAAGTGCACTTAAATAAGGATACAAATACATAGGCTACATATGTTTACAGTTATTTTACTTTTTTTTAACTGTAGCAAGTGTTTAGATGTCTGGATCTTCATGCAGCCAAGCAAAACACTGTAGGCTAGCCGGTAAAGTAGGCTATGCATTGGTTAAACCTCATTTCCTAGTATGTTTGGTCATGACCACACACTAAATCGATGATGTAACAAAATTATGCAGAAATCTGTTGGTAGTTATCTAAAACTGATGGGCACAACAATATTGTTTGACAGGAAAGCCTACCAGAGCCATTTGTCCTTGTCTGTATAATAACCGATACAGTGCAGTAATCATCATTATCACTGTTACTGTGTTCACTGACTCAGTTCAGTGAAGCAACCTGTCTGCTGGGTTCATTTCAAGAGATGAGTCAATTACCATTGTCCAAACCTGTCATGCGTTTTTAATTTGTGTGGCTTGTGTAGGCTAACCTATTCAGGGCTCAGAGAGTGGAGAGGACCACAGATGGTAGCATGCAGGGAGGTGCTAACCCTTTGTCTCTCTCACACCTTAGACCGAGCTGCAGCCCGATGGGTAAACAAGCTAACAGGAACCATCTGCCATCAGATCTCAATTCAATATTTTCCTTTTGAAGCTGATACTGAACTAGATCTTACAGCCAGGAGGCAAATTTCTTCAGAGCAAGGGAACATTTTTTACCTTCTACAACAGTTGCTCAAACCATGGCATATTATGTGTAAAACAAATTTTCATGGGTAATTTCTGTGTATTTCCTTCACAGCTCAGGAGATGTTTTCATTTGACTGTGTCTGAAAAAATGTATTGTGTACGGGCAATCAGTAACGGTCTCAAAGTTCTAATTAAGCTATGAAATATACGTTGCAAGTGAGGAATAGATCCAGGGTGGAGGAGGAGACATGTTCTGAGACTCTTATTCTCCGGAGAGATGAATCTGGTGTGCAATCAGCCACGATGTCACTTGCATTAGAGTTTGATCATTTATTGGCTGTTTTTAGATCAATAGCCTAAAAACAAGTCTGTCAAATTGTTCTGAAAATGTGTGACTTGCATGATGTTATTTATAGACTTCTGTTGCATTGCCTATTTTCAGTCTCAGACACAAACAACTCCACCACTGAATGAGGAGTTCAGCAAAGTGCTTGTGTTGTTTTGGTGGAAATAATGCTTCAAGTGAACTCTGAACATGTGTGTGTTGGTTTAAATGTTTGCCTTCCTTCCTCTGTCTGTGTGTGTGTGTGCAGTGGATTGATAGCACTTACAGTAATACTTCGACAGCCATGAGTGGAAAGTAAGCTCGCTATAACTCAGAAATCAATGTGAGAAGAGTCAGTGGTGGCTTCAAAATATTGGCCCGGCTCAGTGAAGGTGGGATGCTCTTTCATTAAACACAATTACTGGTACCTTCTCCCATCATGGATCCAATCTGCCAGATTAGATTTCATCAAAAGTGTGCCGTGGAAAGGGATTACCCTTTGTACACACACACACACACACACACACACACACACACACACACACACACACACACACACACACACACACACACACACACACACTCCTTACTGGCTCATATATGCATTGAACACCCATAGACACACTTCTACAAACAATAGAAACTGTGGTCAATGGGGACCTCGTGGGCTAAGGTCATCCTTGTGTGAGCACAGGGGGACCTCCTCAAACGGAAACAAAAAAACCACACACACCCCTCCTCCAGTCTGTAATGAAGGTAGCCCGTGGGCTCGCAGAGTCTGGGGGAGGGTGAGATGTGTTTTTAGCTCAGCTCTGGGACTCCACTGGACCTGCACAGGAATGATTGTGGGGGGTTCTCATTGACCCAAGGGTCTGTAATGAAGCCCATGCCATATGTGCCCAGAGCTGGGATGATTCAGGCTCTCGTTCTATCAAAACAATCACACACACCGTACACTTGGTCAGAGAAGAAAGAAAGTCTCAGTGTTTGTGTTATATACATATCATTGCTGCCAGAAGGAAATATGGTTCAGCATTTATGAATTTCAATGAATCCTTTGCTTTACAAAAGCAGTTTGCTTAACATAGAAATTAATGGTCATCAAGGTAAAATAACAGTACATTATGTTGCGTGCATGCATGCTTACTGAAGTTTATGTATGAGCGGGTTTACATAAACTGTAGATTAGATAGTTTACAGAAATATATATACATATAATAATAAAGTGACCCATGAATATGATAATGGATGCCTTGAGTAATATTAAATTACCTATCTTGTTTGCCTTTTTAGGTGAACCATGTGGCCCAAGCAAGCTTTCAAGTCGACGCTTTTGGCAGAAAATTCATCTTGGATGTAGAGCTGAATCAGTGAGTATTAAAGTCTGTCTCTCAGTCTGGCTAGTCATCTGTCTGCCTAGCTAGCTATCTGTCTGTCTAGCTAATAGCTTACTGTCTGTCTCTGTCTGGATATCTGTCTGTCTAACTGTCACGCTATCTGTCTGTAGGTTGATGTCTTCATTGCAGTTGATAGTAGCGTTATTTCTCCACTTCATGTTTTTAATATGCTATGGCTTACCTGACAATCACAAAACTGATATGTCTAAATGAAGGTTGATTAACTTTAACGCTGACTTGCTTGTTGTTGAAATTATCCAAGCAGGAGTCATTAGTCAGTTTCTCGGGCTTGAGTAGAAATTCACATTCTATTCTTCTTTAGTCTAAATCCCAAAACTCATATTGCGCAATAATCTAATGCTGACTCCAGCATTTTAACTGAAGTTGGGCATTGTGGTACTGCTGGAGAGAGCTCGTATTTCCCTGTTCTCTCAGTGCTGTTTATTAGCTGTTTTGGGGAGGGCACTCGTAAGACAAAAATACCTAATGTGGGTGTGTGTGTATGTTTGTGATTTAGAGGTTCTATCATAATAGGAAGTGATTTACGGTAAAGGCTAGAGCACTGCCCTGTCAGACACAGATATTGATCACAGCACTGCTGATGGAAAGCGAGCCACTCTCTCTCCTTATTTTCTCTCACTCTCTAGTTGCTTTTTTTAAAATAAAAATCACACATTTTGGTGTCTTCCTCTTTAAACCGTTCGCTGTTCCTCTGTTTTGTTTTCCTTCTGTCACTCTTTGAGACCATGGCTTATTTGTCTCATTTAGTCCCCAAAACAGAGAAGCCTTTGAACTTGGCACACACATAAGGTGATGCTGCCCGCTCATCACAGCTGAAGTCACTCCCCTACTGAGTGAAACGTTGCATCACAGGAGTTCCCAGGTTTAGAGGATATGTTTCTTTAAAGCCTGCAGCTCACTGCGTGACCTATCAACCAGTCATGGATATAAATGTGTTGTGTGCACGTACATAAATGCTCACACACATTCGTGAAGATATGCACAAGATTGTCACACATGCACATACACTTTCATCAGCATTTGGTTTGATGCAGAGTCATTATTCATCTGTGTGACATTGTGTGCTTATGGTGTCCTTTTCCGTAATTTCTTAACTGCATGTGGTGCAAAAGGTCAGTTAGAATATCGACTGAAAGAAAACACTTAAGTGAAATCCTGTTTTTAGCTTACCAGAGAGAGAATAAGCCTCCAACCAGACAGCTCTGGGCAACAGTTTGTTTTGACATGTGTGGTTCTGAATAAGAATGAGAGACTGAGGTCAGTGTTGTACTGTGTGACATTTCTCTGTTTTCTCTAAAAATCACCAACTGTCTTCTTAATCAGTTTAAAAAAAACATTTCCTAGTTCCAGCTTCTCAGTTGTGATGATTTGCTGATTTCATTTGTTTTATTTAATCGTTAACTGAATGTTTTTAGGTTTTGTATTATTGGTTGGGAAAACAAGCAATTTGATGACACCGCTTGAGTTTTAGGAAATTGTAATTGCAAAATGAAAGACAAATTACTATTGTCTTTCATTTAGTTGCCGCAACAGTTTAATAATGAAATGGTCACTTAACAGAACATTAATGGGCAACTGTTTTGATGATCAATTATGGAATTTATCAAGCAAAAAGGCCAAAAATGTGGTTGTTCAAGCTTCTCAAATGTGACGATTCACAGCTTTTCTCTGTTTTATATCATTGCAAATTGAATGTCATTGAGCTTTGGATGAAACAACAAATGTTTGGGCTCTGAGAAATTGTGATGGGCATTTATCACTATTTTCTGCTAATCAACTGACAAAATGCTAAACAGATTAATCGAGAAAAAAAAACAATCGATTAGAGGTTCATTGTGTAAGTAATAGTGGCATCTAGTGGTGAGAGTTGCGAATTGCACCCCCCCTTCTCTATCCAAGCGATTTGTATAGCTACGGTGCCTGAGACAGGACAAAAGATGTCCTCTGTGAGATAGCAGAGTTGCCAGTCAAGAGATCAGGTTTCTTTACATTGATATATTAAGAAATTATATTTACTTGATTATTCAGTAAAACCAAATGTTATTGTGTATCACATCTAGTGCATCAAGTATGCCCACTGACAGATAACAAGACAATGTAAGCCTCACTGTTTCTGCACCACAGTACATTATAAACCACAAAATATATGAAGTTTACAAAGGCATTGTTAGGTGAGGATCAAGGCTCCTCTCACTTTGCTTAATTAATTAGATAAGCAATCTGCAAATCTTACCAAAATGTCTTTTTTAATTTTTAAAATACAACAGAAACACAAGTTTTTAATGGTCATTTAGCATGTGAAAGTACAGTGGCAAAGCACTATAAAAAAACCTGCTGTTACCGTTTTATTGCCAATAAGATTCATCAGCAGGTAACGGCACATAACAGAGCGCTGTAGAATAACTACATTAAATTAACATCCAACAACATATTTTTTTCTACCAGGGCAGTAAAAGTTTAGTTGGCTGATCTGAGCTTTCACACTGGAAGCTATGTGTTATTGCCAATTAGTGATCAGCTGATTGTCTAACGAATGTAACCGACAAAGCCAAAACAGAGCGCTGGAGAGAGAGAGAGTCATTAAATTAATCCAACTACATGTTTTTTCTACCAGAGCAGTTTAGCTGGCTGATGCTTCCATGCTCTAACCTAACGTTACCTTTTATTGCCAATTACTGATCAGCTGATTGTCTCGCTAACTTAACAGGAAAAGCCAAACCACATCGCTGGAGAACAACAAGGCTACATGAAATTAATCCAACTACATATTTCACAGAAGTAGACAGGAGAAACACACCAGGTCTGTCGGTGATTATGGCAAGCTTTTAGCTAAAGCTATCAAACAGCAGCTTTCATGTGCATTGCTAAAGTCCGAGTAACTTAATTACCTGTCCAGCAGAAAACAGACAACTTCAGCTCCGCTTTGAAAACATCTTTCCCACATCAAAGCCTTCCGTCTAGGAAAATCCACACCATTATGTCTGTGATTTTTTGCTGTCAGCTGTCTACATCTGTCCCATCTCCTCTGGCTTCATGGTACAAAGATCCACAGGCTATCGGCTCTCATGCTAAATAACACATGTGCTCGTACATTTGTCCAAATGTAAAAAACCAGAGGACTACTCAGAGACTGTTTATTAATTATTATTATTTCTACTTCTATGGACCCATTTAATGTAGTGTCGGGACGTCTACACTGCCGGAATTATACAAGCAGAAGAAAATGCCGTGATGACGAAACGCGCTCTGTAGCGCTGTTTGTCCGTTGTCGGCTATTGTAGAAACATGACGACACAATACTGCAACCTCCATAGAAAGGGGGTACCTGCGGTTATGTAGATATAAATGGCTCATTCTAAGGTAATAGAAACATAATGGTTCATTATGTAAGATCTTTATACACCACTGAAAACATAATTACAGATATTATATTGCATTTCTGTCAATAAATCCTCAGAAAAATGGCGGCACAATGTTCTAGTGGATAGCACCGTGGCCTAACAGCAAGAAGGTTGTGGGTTCAAACCCACGGTTGCCCCGGCCTTTCTGTGTGGAGTTTGCATGTTCTCCCTGTGTCTGCGTAGGTTCTCTCCGGGTGCTCCGGCTTCCTCCCACTGTCCGCAGACTAGGTTAATTGGTGACCCTAAATTGTCCTTAGGTGTGAGCGTGACTGGTCGTTTGTCTATGTATGGCCCTGCGATGGATTGCGACCTGTCCAGGGTGTACCCCACCTTTCGACCAATGTCAACTGGGATTGGCTCCAGCCCCTGCAACCCAGTACACAGGATAAGCGGTTGACGATGGTTGGATACTTGTGTGTGTTTGGTGATTGGTAGTGTTTGAGTTGTGGGAATGTTTTGTTTTGGCTTGCCACTCTGGCTGCGGCTGCATTCCTGTCTTTGTCCCTGTCCAAGTTATCCGTCCCTCATGGGGAGAAAGATCTCCAGTTTCCCTCTGTGAATGAGTACACCTTAGATTCCTCCCCCTGCTGCCCTCCTCTCTCCTCTGTCCTCATCACTGTCCTCCTAACACACTCCTCTGTGAACTGATCCCCAGCTTGAGAGCCACACTGATTTTGTGTACAGATAGCTTTCATGCCAGACAGAATAAACCCGATTGATGTGTGAGTGAGTCCAGGAGTGGGAGGAATTAAAGCTGAATGGGCCAACATTGTTTTTTGGCTCCCAGTAACAAAACCTAGATCTCTCATTTTGATCAATGAGGAACTCTACTGCTGTGCATTTTTCGTGTTTAATTTTTGCCTGAAGCAAACAGGAAAGGTGTGTTTTTTAGCTTTAGCTGTTGGCTGTGTCTCTAGTGTAGTCTACGGTATGTATTGTCATCATTATCATCCTCATAAGCAGCCTTTTCAGAGTCTTTGCCTCAAGTTAATGTTTTTCCATAGACTGTGAATAATAGGAGTGTAGGCGTTTTGTTATAAAGTCATATATCTTGTGAATTCGAAGCACATGTGCTATTTGTAAATTTTCAGTCTACTGTTCTTTCTTTCTGATGTGAACATTTTAATCGGTTTGTGTTAACATTCACGGTCCCTGGAGGATGAATTTTATTGATTTTGGTGGTCCACTGACTTTTTATATAGCGCCAACATGAGGCGACCTTTAGACCATCCATCCATCCATCTACCTGATTGGCCTGTTCAGGGTCATGCAGGCTGGCTATCCCAGAATGCACTCTGCAAGAGGCAGGCGAAACCCTTGATTGGTTGGTATCCTTTTTTGTTTGGATAAGAAATTGGTCAAAATGAGTGTGCTGTATGGTGAAAATAATCAGTTAATAACATTAATGTGTGTGCTGTAGTCGTTAGCTCTTTTATTAGCAACATGCCGTATTGACACGAGCCACCCATCTGAAGTGTGACAATCTATAAAGAGGAAGTCAGGAGGGGGTTGGTGGGTCATGGGGTCTTTATTCCCCCTTTGCTGTCTTTG